TATATGAATGCCTCAGATTTGTGTGTATTGATTTTGTAGCCTGAGACTTTGCTGAATTCATTTATCAGTTCTAGGAGTCTCTTGGATGAATCCTTGGGGTTTTCTAGATATAATATCATATCATCGGCAACGAGCAAGAGTTTGATCTCATCTGTCCCCATTTGGACACCCTTAATACCCCTCTGTTGCCTAATTGCTGTGGTGAGGATTTCAAGCACTATGTTGAATAGAAGTGGAGATAGAGGGCAAACTTGTCTGGTTCCTGTTCTAAGTGGGAATGGTTTCAATTTTTCCCCATTCAATATGATATTGGCAGTGGGTTTGTCATAAATGGACTTGATAATTTTAAGAAATGAGCCGTCTATACCTATTTTGATGAGAGTTTTTATCATAAAGGTGTGTTGGACTTTGTCAAGTGCTTTTTCTGCATCTATTGAGAGAACCATATGATCTTTATTCTTTTATTTATGTGGCGAATTGCATTTATAGATTTGCATGTGTTAAACCAGCCTTGCATCCCTGGAATAAAGCCCACCTGGTCATGGTGAATTATTTTTTGATGTGCTGCTGAATTTTATTTGCTAAAATTTTGTTGAGGATTTTTGCATCTATATTCATGAGGGATATTGGTCTGAAGTTTTCTTTTTTTGTTGTGTCCTTTCCTGGCTTTGGTATCAAGGTGATATTTAGCCAAACCAGTTTTAAGAATTAAGTTTGAGAACGTAGACTGCCTCATTTCAAAACTTATTATAAATGTGCTGTAATCAACATAATACAGTATCAGCACGATATATATAGGCAGTAGACCAATGAAACAAAATTAAAAGTCTAGGGGAAAAAAGTCCTCACACTCATCAATTGATTTTCAGCAAAGGTGCTAACACAATTCAATAGGTAAAGGATAGTCTTTTCAACAAATTATGCTGAAATAATTAGACATTCATATGCAAAAAAATTCTTAGATCTATGCCTTGTACCATACATAAAAATTAACTCAAAATGGATCATAAATGTAAGTGTAAGGGCTAAACCTGTAAAACTCTTTGAAGAAAAATAGGAGAAAATCTTTATGCCTTTGGATTAGACAAGGAGTTTTTAGATATGACACCAGAAGCACAAACCATAAAAGAAAAAATGACAAATTGGAATTCAACAGAATTAAAAATTTCTACTCTCTGAAAAATGCTTTTAAGAGAATGAAAAGACAAGGGATAGACTGGGAGAAAATACTTGCAAGTCATGTTTCTGAGAAAAGACTTGTATCTAGAATAAAGAACTCTTAGAACTCAATAAAACAACCGAACTTAAACATGGGCAAAAGCTTTGAATAGACATTTTGCTTAAGAACATATCCAAGGGGCTAATAGTCACATGAAAAGATGCTCAATTTCATTAGTCACTGGGGAAATGCCAATTAATAGTGCTATGAGATACCATTAGAATTATACCCACTAGAATGGCCATAATCAAAAAGAGAGACAATACAAAGTGTTGGTGAGGATGTAGAAAAACTGAAACCCCCATACATTGCTGGCGGGAATATAAAATGGTACAACCTCTTTGGAAAGCAGTTCTTTTTTAGATAATTTCTTAAAAAGTTAAATATAACTTAACATATGACCCTGAAATTCCACTCCCAAGAATCTATCCAAGAGAAATGAACATATTTCCACACATAGACATGCACACAAATTTTCCCAGCAGCATTATTCATAATAGTCCCAAACTAGGAACAATCCAAATGTCTATCAACTGGTGAATGAAGACACCAAATGTAGTGTACATACAATGGAATAGTATTCAGCAATAAAAAGGAATAAAGTAACTATGTAAAAAATAAAAGGAATAAAGTACTGCTACATGCTACAACATGAATGATCCTTAGAAACATGCTAAGGGAATGAAGTCAGACACAAAAACCACAATTTCAGTGATTCTGTTTTTATGAAATGTGCAGAAAAGACCCATTTGTAGAGAGAAAAAGCGGATTCTAGAGCTGGGGTGAGAGTGGTGATTGACTGTAAACCAGCACAAGGAAACTATTTGGAGTGAGAGGTTCTACGACTGGATTATGGAGGTGGTTGCCCAACTCTATGAATTTACAAAAAATCATCAAAGTATACACTCTTAGTGGGTGGATTTTATGGTGCATAATTTATACTTAAGTAGAGCTATTTTTAAAGGAATTTTCTCATTTGACCTTTTGTGCTTAAATTTTGAAAGCTCTTCTAAATCCTTTTGCAACAAGGATTGATTTGTTTAATTGTCACATAAACCCTCTGATTTATGTGTTTAATATTATGTATCTCATAAGAATAACAACTTATAAAGAAATGCCTATTGACATGTGTACCTTTGTCTCAAATACATTCTTCTAACACCTCTTTGTGTTTCCCAGTTCCAGCTAAATGGCTTTTGATTCTCAACTGAAGTTTGCTATTCATTTTATGTTAGTGGTTGTGTCTTTCACAAATTTTATCCAGGATGATATTAACTTTTAGAAACTACAGCTTGGAACACTTTTTATATACTTTTGATGTCTTTTGTTAAATTCTTTAACATATTTTCCCAATGAAAATATAAAAGCTTATTTCTGAAATGTACTTTGGTTTTAATATTATGCATATCTTCCTTTTAAAATAGAATACGCTTCTCTGGGATCACTCTATGATTACATTAACAGTAACAGAAGTGAAGAGATGGATATGGATCACATTATGACCTGGGCCACTGATGTAGCCAAAGGTAATAGTACTTGGTGTATTCTTATAAATTTGGTGGGGAGCATTTTCCCATCCTGAAATGGGGACTTACGTCCGAAAATTTTCTATTCTATGTCTTTAGAAGTTCGTTTTTCAGAATAAAAGTAGTAAGACTTCTGCAACTGATTTTACAGATGTTTTAGGTCATTGCCTTTCCACTCCTGAATTCCTTTTTTCTTTCTCCTTTCTCTACATTATTTCTTTCCCTAAAATCAAGCTCTAGCATCAGGACAGACATTTTTGTCATGTTTTGTGATATGTAATTGACTAGCTTGCTTGACACATTAAAGGGAAAAATCATATTTCCATTGTTGTTCTGAAAGTCTCTACTTAGACTCAGTATCCAGAAAACATGATTTATTATAGGATTAGTTCTACTCGTTTTGTATATGTAATATGCTAAAAATAGAAACCACTTGCAAAAAAAAAAAAATCTCATTTGACCTACCATGTAAAAGCAATTCAGATTTTATTTTACATTTAATGTAAACTTGGTTATCACCTTTGGAAATTAAATATTTTTAATACACAAAATCCCTAAACAAGGTGCCCAGTTCTTTCCCCTCATAAATTCCTGCATGGACTAATGCTTTCTAAAGCAATTCAGATTCCATTTATTTTTATCTTTTATTTTCCATTTTCCTAACAACATTCTGAGTTTTATTTATACCTGTCAAAGTTGCTTTGGAAACAACTTGATCTAAATGATGAACACTGATAGTTACATTGGTGTTCTAGCAACCCCTGGAAAGTGTGTCCAAATTTTACTGGAGCTATTAACTCCTTTACATTTTACAACTCCATTCTCTACAAGCATCTCTTTACAAAGCAAGTATAATGTTATTTAGCAGTAAATAAGGGGAGCAACTCACACTTTGCTTTCACTGTATGACTTCCAAGTAGTAGTCTTTCCTTTGGGGAATTATCTCATCTGTTCTGAGTTTCATCAAAACCTGCCAAATTGTTCAAATAGGGAAGATGAATCGTTTTTTTTTTTTAAAGTTTCATGCTAGATGCCGCTGCTGAATGATGCTTCATTACCTTATAAGAATAATAAGCTCTATGTCTTTAAGGGTGATGTATTTGAGGCTTTGGCTGTGTTAATTAACTTAATTGTGTATTCATGCATCAGGCCTCTCAGATCAGACTTAAAATTTCTTATTCTTCAAGATATTTTCGTGTAACATCACAGTCACTTCTCTGCATCTCAGTAGTACACAGGGACTACCTAGTTGTAAGCAAGGTAATGTACCATTATTGGGAGCTGCCTGCAGCATTGTGGAAATACTGTTAAATAAATGTAAATGCATATATAGGCAGTCCTTGACTTACAGCACTTTATCTTACAGACATTTGCATTTAGGGTGCTTAGCCAATTACACCCATGTCATTACTTAATGGCACTTAGGATGGATAGACAGCAAACAAATCAGCTGACACCAATCTCTGCTTCCTGCTGTGCTCTACTTAAGCATCCCTGGTTCCCAGCCTGTAACCTCTTCTCCTTGCCCCCTCTCAAGTGCCTGCCCTGGCATCCGTGCCTGCGGGGTGAGTTTCTTGGCTCCAGATCAGCTCATTCTCTGGGGTTTCTAAAAGAGTGCTGGCGCTCTGTATCTGAAGGATAAGGAAGAGAAGAAACAGAATTAAGTAGCAAACTAGAACCACAGGTAAAGAATAGGGAAGGAGAGAATGGGAGTGAACCCCCTTTCCAAAACTACAAAATAATAAAGTCCCTTTTGCCTGGCTGGTGAATTGATCTGAAAGGCAAGTGCTAATGTATTTAGTCTCAGGTGAGAAGATTGAGGCAGAGAACAGGTTTGTTTATTAATAGTCACAGGTAATACTTAATGTTTAAAAACCGTTTCAGATGGCCTATAAAAGAAAAACATAAATTAATGCTTTAGGAATGATTTTAACCCTCTAATAAACCTGCATATAGAACTTAGAAATTAAATAGGAAGGCTTGATTTTTGTTGATTCTTTTTCAAATTCAGCTGTGTACCTTTCATTTTGACCATGATTAAATCCACTGGAGCGATGATATGTTAAGAAATCAAAAAATGAGTAATTCATTTCAAGTAAGAGTAGATTCATGCATTTTGCAATAAGCATTGCTCAACATCATTGTTGTTAAGAGAATATCTCCTCAAACCAAAAAAGATTCTCTTCTTTCTAGACAGGAACAGGAATGGAGGGTGGGCTAGCAAGTATATCTGAAATTGCTACCAGTCAATCAACAATGTGTAAAAGGAACAACTAACGTGGATAAGCCTCAATCCAGTCTTAAAATGGTCACCATTGACTCCATATCTCCACAAAAGTCTCCTCATCGACACCTGTTAGATCTTTTTAGGAAACTCTGAACATTAAACCTAATGAAAGTATTTTTCAGCCTTCTTAATTTTGGCACTAAAAATAAGACAGAATTATAGATTGCTCTACAAAACAAATAGAATTTTATGTGATTGTGATTACTATTGTTGATGTGCACTAAATATTGTTTAAGTGTAAACTATGCATTGTACACAAATAATTTATGGTGCTTATAATAATCTGCCATGAGGAAGAAGAGTGCCTATATTTAAAGTTTTTATACTAGAGTCTTATTTTTTGAAATCTTTGTCAGCAAGTGTAGAAACTGTCTCTACCACTAAGAATAATTCAATAGCTTCTACCTGAAAATTTTTAAGGAGTTTGATTCTAAAGCAAAAAAGATGTAACTATGAAATTTAGTCATGAAGGTTATTAAATGATACCCAGGTTGTAGCGTTGAATTTTTACAGTTTGAAGTATGTAGAACTTCATATTAGAAGAGAAATTTCCTTTATCCCAAGTATATCTTGTTTAAGATCATTTGAATTACTAATACTTGTGTTAACTTGACTCTTTTCAATGGTATCATTATATGGTAAGAGTTTAAATTTTTTTCTTATTTTCTTTGTTCTTTTATGATTTTCCATATATACTAATCAGAATAGTACAAGAATAAGAAATTAAAAATTAATCTTTAAAAAACTGAAATGTTCTATATGCTTTAAAAAGCCAAAGTCTACTTCCTAAATTATTTTCAATGGATAGTTCATTTTAAAAAGAAGCCTGTTTGATTGCGGGGTGGGGGATTATTTCTTTCATCATTTAGAAAAGATAACTTGAGAAATAAGGAGAGGATATATTTCAGTATAAAATTTTCCTTTTCTTTATTCTAAAGGGATATACAATACATAAATACAGAGTCAAACATTAGTAAGGGGGTAACCATAAAATATGTCTTTGAAAGTATAATTTTTGATTCAAAATAATAAAACTCTACAAAGTTTATATAGACCCAGTTTACTGAAGTAACTTGATATTCATCCAGAATATCATAGAGAGAATTTTGGAGTATGTTTAAATATAGATTATCTCAAAGATTTATCCTTGTAAAAAGAATAAAATATTTAGTAACTACTACATATTTTTCTATCTGAAGATCATAAAATTCTTTACCAATCTACTCAATCCTCCCAATTCTCCCCATCCCTACCCCACCTCCACTCCCCAGTCTTGTTGGAATGAATACTGAGAAAATAAATAAACCAAGCTCCAACTGGATAACTGCAGACATCCTAATGAAAAGTGAAAACCCTGGTCAGAACATGGCAGATTGAGAAGGCAGTTGGTAGTGGAATACCTTAGTCATAGAGCACTTCTTGCAGTGGTTACTGTGCTATTTTCATGCAGACTCCAGAAAATCAAGGTGTCCTTATTAGGTACTGTTAAGAAGCTAGTGTTACTCACAATCGGATTCCAGCCTTTAAGAGATTTAAGCACGTAAATTTTACTTAGCATGTAAATGTTACCATGTAGACATATCCTGTTTCTATTTTATCAATCACGGAAGAATAGGACACATGAAATTAGTTTCTGCTATTGAATTCTTTGAAAAAATATGAAAGGTACCACTGATGCAGTGTTAAAAACATTAATAGGCCTTTTTTTCCTTCTTGTATGAAAAGGAATGCACTATTTACATATGGAGGCTCCTGTCAAGGTGATTCACAGAGATCTCAAGTCAAGAAATGGTAATGTCATACATTTTTATTTTACCTATTTTATTACAAATTAAATGCACCTGTATATAGAAATAAACATCATGCTTTCCATATTTTTTGTAACCTGTTTGACTCACTGCTGATACCACGGAAATCTTTCCACTGTCAATTAAATATCAAAATTCTCTATGTTATTTGAAGAAGCTGCATAGTATTCCACTGTATGAATATAATACAGAATGTGAACATTTGGATTGTTTACATTTTTCTATGATAAGAAATTTCGTGCTTAATACCTTTCAGCCAAATTTTCAACACATTCCTAATTATTTCCCTAAAATCATTTTCTAAAAGAGGTATTGCTGGGTCAAAGTGTGTAGTCGTATGTTTTTAGTCTTCTATTTTTAGGTGGTCCTCTGTACTAGCAATTTTCAGTTTTGTTCTTGTTCCAAATTACATGGCGTGAATTGTTTATGTCAGTCATGCCTGTGTTACCTGGAGCAGTGCCCAAAATGAGCAGCACGTTTGCGAGTTTGGAAAGTAAAGTCTCTATTTTTCTTCTTTCTCTTCTTCTCTACTTCATAAAGTTAATTTATGGTCCTGTATTTTATAATTTGGAGGGCGAGCATTTTAAAATAGCTTGCAGGATTAGACTTTGCCTTCAAGTAGGAGTGGTAACAGAATGCTCCTTCTCTTAAGTCACTTGAAAGTTACTGGAGAAAGGCAGTCAGATACCTTAGCTATCCAGAGCTAGCTAAATGAACATCAGAGTTTGCCACTTTTTTAAAAACTTTGCTTTTAATTAATTAATCATTTTCATGCTTTCTAAGTGGTTCATCATAGGGAGGAGGAGGAGAACTGTTTATTTTTAGCAGATCTTTAGATCACTGCAGTTAAATTGGGTACATGCTGATAGTGTGATCCTTAGCTTAGGTGGTGACAGCAAGTAGTGGAAGGGGACCAGGGAAAGAGTGGACCAGGTACCCCCACTCATACATACTCTAGGACCTTGAGGTGTGTGTGCACTTGGCGGGGTCGCGGGGAGGGAAATTGTTGGCACCTGCCGCTCATCAGTAGTCCAGGCTGGACCCCAGCCCAGCTCTGCCAGTTGGCTCTGGCTCATTGTCTTTCCCTCTTCTAGGTCATCACTTACCCTTTGGCTCTGATTAGACATGAGCTTCCTGGAACTAGGCCCTTTTGATATATGATTGGCTAACAGGAAGTCATTAGGTAATAATCTGCAATCTAGTAGGAAATATCAGAGTTTTATGACTTTGTAAATTTTCAGTTCCCGCTCAGCATTTCAGTTTAAACAAGTTATTTGACTGCAGTATGTCCTAAATCTTCCATGTGAGAATAATTAACTAAATTGTGAACTTATTCATGCTATCATTATGAAGACTATGTAACAGTCGAGAATATACTCATTTTTAAAAATTTTGTGTGTAGTTACTTAATAGGAACACACACACATTCATATTGAAAGAATATAGACCTAACTTTTAGCAATTTTTTTCCTGGGAGAGGAAACAAGACTCTTTAATTTTCTGTGTTTTATATTTTTATAATGGTAGATTTTTAAAAAATGAGTATTTGTTAATCTTAAAATGAGAAAAGTGAATATAATATTAACAATATTTACATTTCTATTTGTAAAATTTTGTAGCTTGTTATTTATAGTATTATGTTTACCCTGAGGCTATTTCTGTTTATCATCAAAAATTATTTTCTCTCCTGATTAAAATCATCATTAGAAGCTAATAAGTATTGATCATCTACCATGTTCAAGGCATTATGTGGCTTGTGAAAGAAATACCAGAAACATTTCTTCAGGGTTTTATCCTTGACTTCATCTCCTCTTATGCTTTTATTCTTACACCCCCATAAAAGCCCCATGTACATATTAACACTCCCAAACAGATCTCAACTTCAAAACTATATATCTTATCTGCTTATTAGACATATTCACACAGATATTTTATATGACCCTAAAACATATTGTGTCCAAACTGATCTTTTCATCTTCTCCCAACCCCCCTGAAAAGTCATTTCCGCATTTCCTTTACTCAGTGAGTAGCAATACCAGTTGCCCAATCCAGAAATTAAATAAGAAGTTGAACCCAGAGCTCCTGTTCTAACCATTAATCTGTATTGCCTCTTTATTTGATCTCATCCTTGACTTCTGCTCCTTCTCCCCTCGTATCCAACCATTCGCCAAGCCTGGCTGGTCCTGCATCCTCAGTATTTTTTGACTCAGTCTACTTCTCTCCTGTCCTTTGCCACAGCCTTAGTACTGGCATCCTCATCTCTCTCGGACTGCAGAAGCTCGCGTTGACAGCAGTCCCCTTGCCGCCAGTTCTATTCTTGTCTGATACAGTCTCGCCTCTGCACATTTGCTCATTTCCTCCACTTAAAATTGTGCATTGGCTTTCCATTTCTCACAAGGGCTTTCCTTGACCTGGCCCTACCTTCCAAAATTGTCGTGCCGTTTCTTCTTCTCCTGAGTTTTTGCCCAGGCTCTCTCTTCTGCCTAAAAAATTACTTTCTTCCCTCAGCTCTCCTCTTTCTGATTAACCCCTGTATTTTTCAGGTCTTAGCATAAGTATCATTTCTTTCAGGAAGCTTCATCTGATCTCCCTAGACTTAGAAATCCCTGTTCTTTGGTTCTGTAGTACTCTCTATTTCTCCCATCATGGAATTTATCCCACTTTATTGTAGATGTTTGTTTAAGTGTCTCTCTGATTAGACTGTAAACCCCATGTGAGCAGAGGCAATGCCGATCTTGCTTACCATCTTGTTCCAAAATGCAGTGTGCGACCTTATCCGTAGTAGGGGCTCAGCATATTTGTGTGAAATGAATGAATGTATGCGTAATTAAATGAATGAATGAATGAATATTGTCTCTGCCTTTAAGAAAATTACTCTTCAGTTGCAAGAGAAAACTATATATACCACAAAGGAATAATGCTAATGACTTCCTCAGTATCACATTGGCAGTCTGTTGGCAGAACCCAGGTAAAAATTTGGTTCTCCTAACTGCTTCTACTAATTTATGCCTTTTTTACTGGACAGTACTGTGTTTGGATAAAACAAGTGTCTTAAAAGCCTTTTTTATTCAGTACCTAATGAAATTAGGTTTTTGTTTTAATGTCAGCAACTTTTTGCAGAATCTTCAATGCTATAAATACGTTGATTTTACCTTTCATAATGCCATATTAAAGATAGAAATATAAGTTTATGATTTTTTTCAGTGTAAGACAGTTCAAACTAATTAAATGATCTTCATAATTTATCTTTTTTTATTTTTTTAGTTGTTATAGCTGCTGATGGAGTATTGAAGGTAGGACTAAGTCTTTTAATTTTTTTAAAAAAATTTGTGATTTTCAGATGTAGATTCTTGTGACTGATAATTATTTTATTAGCCAATAAGTAGAAAGTTTATACTGGTTTCTCTTTTCTTAGATCTGCGACTTTGGTGCCTCTCGGTTCCATAACCATACAACACACATGTCCTTGGTTGGAACTTTCCCGTGGATGGCTCCAGAAGTTATCCAAAGTCTCCCTGTGTCTGAAACTTGCGACACATATTCCTATGGTGTGGTGAGTTCATTTCTCATTTCTTGTTTGCTAAAGGAACGACAAAAAGCAAACAACCTAAAGAAGAAAGAAACAACAATTCAACATGTGAGACAGTATTGCTGTTTCTGGTGCAATGCCTAAAACGGTGGCAGCAAAGAGAATACTTTCTAATTGCCAAAATGTTTACTTTGGTTGTTTTTATGCATCTGAGTTATTTTGTCCTGTGTTAAGAAGAAACCAACATCACGTCCAAGAAACAAATTAGATGGAACCTGTTATAGTGTTGGGCTGCACTTCTCCTGTGGAGAGAGCTTTTTTGCTGGGTGAAAATATGCCTGTAGAATGTCTCTGTAGTTGTAATTCAGTTGAAATGTGGATCATCTGGAACAGGACTTCATTGTCACGGATTGCTCACCAGCAGATCTGCCAAGTGAGTTAATTAACAGGACACTTCTGAGTGTCAACTATTAAACTGATCAGTGAGTTTCTAAAAGTACAAAAGAAAATGTACTCAGCCCTTGCCAGATAGCCTTGTCCATGTCTGCTGCAAGTCGTAGAAAGTGGTAGTGACTGTCTGAAACATGAACCTGAGGTATCACAGGAGAACAGCGACAGAGCAACACAGAAGAATGGAGTAACGGGGTGGAGTGCACAAGGCATAGAGACCACAGTAGGAATCGGGTAAGGAGCAGAAGCTCCTGGAGGCGCCATTTGGACGTGGATCTTTCCTGAGGAATAAGTTGTACCTGCATTATCAGAGAGAAGGAAGCCAGGGGTGGGAACAGTTCTTTGCTGGAGGAAGGAATTCTTTTGTTGCCTTTTTCTTAGGGTAGGTTTTCCCCTAAAATGCTATCTGTGCTTTAAAAGTCCAAAATAGTATTTGGAACCCTCTGTCTTTGCATCTCATCTCCCAATTATACTGCCTCTCTGTTTATGCCATTACTTCTTAAAAGGGCATTTTCATAGTAATTTTAAAAGAAGCAGACCAATTTTGGGCCCAAATCAGCATGCCTCTTTTTTCTGAATGTCTGTGTTTCCTTACGGAATGAAGGTGGCTGATGGCACGAGAGGAGATGTGCATCGTCAGACATGCTCCTTTTCTTTATTCAGTCTCTAAGTATTTCCTGCTGGCTTCATTACTTCAGTTTTGGGCTTGTTTCAGTTGGCTAGCTCTTTCTAAATCATAATACATTCTATGTATACCAAATTAATACAATAGAGTTGAATTTTTTTTGGCTATTGAAAGAAACTTTCAAAAATGAAATGTTTTTGGCTAAAGGCTAGAATTTCAAAGGTTGGAAGACAAGAGTAACATCAGTCTAAATACCTAATTTCCGTTGATTCTGGATGTTTCTAAGAATGAAGACTGTAAACTACTGTAGACAGTGATTAAATAATTCTCACTGAAAGAAGGAAAAACAAAACATAAGTTCCAGAGGAGACTAGATGCTAAAATTGGTCTCCTGTGTCATAAGTTACTACATTCTAACATCATAGACTCATCTGCTGGGTATTTTGAAAGTCAGATATTTGTTGCAATTTAAGACTCTTTGTAAGACTTTTTTTCCTCTTATGAAGTTATGTTCATTCATTTTTAAGCAAAAATTAATTTATTGAGTCAGGCACTGTGCTAGACACTAACTTGGGGTAATTTAAATTTCACTTAACCTGTTTCTCGGGACCAGTGTCTCATTTTATCCTGTAGAACAGGAGCCAGCACACTTCTTGTATAAACGACCAAATAGTATATATTACTGGCTTTGAGGGCCACTTACAGTCTCTGTTGCATAGGTGTCTTTGTTTTTTTTTGTTTTTACAACACTTTAAACATGAGAAAACATTCTGTATTCTGCAGAAGAATACAGCCCTCTGTGAAACAAGAGGGCTTGGAAAGATAAGCAACAGGGCTGAAAAATATGGCTCATTCAGTCAGTGTTCCCACTGACAGTTCAGAGCGATTCCACGAGAGACCAGAGTTCTCACTCTTTTCATGTGCATGTGCATATAAATGTATGTAAACATATATTTATATGTTGGGTTTATATATATATATAGGCTACAGTTCTTATAGGTGGTTATAGTTCTTAAATTGTTGTGTACATTCATATGAATTAGAAGACTTTTGAGGCTCATTTTTTACAGGTACAGTGCTTTTAAAATTCTCCCCAACTCTTGGAATTTCCCTCTCACAGAAATTTTTGACCTAAAGATACAACTATGAGTTATACATGGAGTGAACTTTTGGTCTCAGTATTATTTCATTTATGAAAACAAACTTCATGCTGCCTTCTTGAAAGCCTTACAGTTGCCAGGGACTTGGGTGTGAAATGCACCCGTCTGCTTTTTCTTAACTGAGGGACAGTCTCAGTGCCAGTGGCCAAGCACAAATTCCTTTTCACACATAAACTGTAAAAGATGTGAAAAGGTGATTTCTGTTTGCAGAGCTTCGGATCTTTTCCTGTATCATTTTAAAATCCCTCTCACACATTTCACATTGACCCCTCTTCTTAAACATAGGCTGAGTCAACCTTTCTGGAACTGCATATTTTCAGTTTATTTTATTAAAAACCTTTTCACCCAAGTAACTTTGCACCACTTTTCAGTAGTAGGGCCTGAACATGTCTCTTTGCAGTTTAGGCTTTTTATCTACTTATTTACTGACCCTACCTTTGCTTGGTTTGGTTTTATTTAGGGGAGGATTAAACATATGCTTAACAAATCATTCTATAAAGTAGTTTGACTTACTGAAACAAACTCTACAGCCAGCCTCTGGGTCTCTCCAGTGTTGCTCTATATTTATACATCAGATGTTGCTCTTCAGAACCTCTTTGCCCCAGCCGCCTGATTTGGAATACCAATTCTACATTCATGCGAGGCCTTCCCTTAACTGGTGGAGACAAAAATGCTATTTCAGTGACTCTGTTTTAAAACATGTGCTGCTGTTTGTCTTGAAGAGAGAGTTTGCTCAGAATGCTGATTCTCCTCATGCAGATAGCTGTATTAGCAGAATTCCATTCAGAAAAGCATATAGATGCTAATTAAATTATAAGGAGGAATTCAGGATTGTATTTAATTCTGACCCCTTCCCATTCTATTTGTTCTAAATAAACACCATTAGTGAAAGAACAAATACAAAGCATGCTTTCCAGAGTATTTTTGTTTAAATGATCACAAATTTTTAAAATGAAAGCATTATGTGTTCAAAGTAGATATTACATAAAAGAGCAGAAAAGGACAGTTGCTAAGGCTAGGACCATGTTAATTTTAGAAGTCTGTGGTCCATAGACTTTGAAAATTATACCTATCTAGGAAAGCAATGTAGTTAGAGTTTTTGGTGTCTTTTGAAAAACAGGTGAGTAGCTAGGTCTCCTTTGTCAGTAGGAGCATCTGTTTGCATAAAACATCCCTCAGGTCATTAAGAGTCTATTCTGTTAGTTTAAACCTTCCCCCATTCATAGCAGTCACACACCAATGAATAAGGCCATTTTAAAAAAAAAAGTCTTCTTTTGAAATCTGCCCCCAAAATGCAATATATTTTTGTTTTTCTATTTTTTCAGACTTGCTGTAAGAATTTAGCCCCTAATACTCTCAGAAATACCAGCTCCCCGTGCCCACAGCTTGGTAAAGCCATGTTGCCTCCTGACAAATGGCAAGGCTCACTAGCCTTGTGCTGCCTTAAAATAAATGTGCTGCAAATGCCAGGAAGGGATCTTGTGATCCTTGCTTCTAAGCTGGTAAACTTTGCCAAGCAGGCAATTGTTTCTCTTTCCATTTTATAAGAAAAGAGATTTTTCTACCCTCTCGTGATAACTTCTCTTGGAAGAACTGAACGAGGCCGGTTTAGTATGTTATCCACACAAAAAGGAAGGACTTAAGGAAAACGAAAATCATTGAAAGAATAAGCCTTCTGTGAACACAAGGCCTCGCCACTCTTTAAAAACAAAGCTATTCTAATGACAGCGCACAAAGGATTACCTTCTTAGAAGCTTCTCAACCAAAACCAGCTTCGAAAACATTAAGAGACAGCATGGCTGTCTCGCTTGTCTGTGAGCCCTGTTCCAGAACAAGCTGGGCTCAGGTAATGGCTTTCTATTGTTTGTAAAAGAAAAGGCAGGAAAAGTACACAGCCTTGTCCAAGTTTCTATTCTATAAACTGAAAATAGAAATTTTCCTTGTGAACAGTTTAAATGTGAGGACGTCTCAATGTATAATAAAATGAGTTGGAAATGTTTTTAAGATGAAAGATCACAATAACATTGGCCTGCATCCTCATAACTGGTATTTGGGGGCATAGTTTAATGTATTTTTAGACCTCCAAGTGACTTCCTCAGCAAAGTTAATTTTTTGTGCCAAATGTCATTTTGTTCAATGTAGAAAAAGCTGTTCTCCTATCTGTTACCACCTACTTTTTGATACATTCCTGAATCTGGAGAATGAATAAAAGGTAGTCATGAGATGTGCTGATACTGGAATTAAACTAAAGACCTCACCTGGGTTCAGGACATGGCTGTTAATGACACCATCCCAGACAGTTTTACATGCATCACTTGACTCCCTCAGCTGTAGTAGCTCTTCAGAGACACGGGGCATAAAATGAAACCATACTTTTTCAGGGTTAGAACTCAAATATAACTTGGGTCTTAATAGATTTTCGACATTTTCCAACAGAAAATGGGGAATTTGGGGAATTTTGGGGAAAAAAATGACATAAATATTTTCCTGGTCACTTTGGGAATAACCCAAACTCCGGTTTTACATTTTACCTCACAAAATTCAGTCAGTCTTTGTGTGTGTGTGTGTGCCTGCGTGCGCACACAGTGTATTATGTACACAGGCCAAACTAAGAAAAGGAGGAGGTACACGGTTGCTCATTTGCACGTTTTGGTGTCTGGAACCCTTGATTTATTTGAGGCTGATGTCCTGTTCCCTCCTTCTTAGTAGTGCCAAATCCATATCCTTTCCCCTTCCAGCCCTTGCACCAGTGGAGTGGTGATTGCAGCAAATCGAGAGGCTTTGTTTCCTGCTCAGCCCTCTTGCTGCCCCCCCCCGCCATGCCCGCGTCGTGTCAGGGGTGACTGTGTACCTGTTCTGACTCTCGCCCCTCCTTTACTTCAGTATTCATGAGAATTGTCTCCTTCTGGGATGCCCTTACCTTTTCCTAATCACTTGTGTGACTCAAATAGAATTATTCAGCAGCTCTTCTAAAGAAGTACCTTATACACTTGATTAAAAGCCCAAAGAGGATTCAGTGAATTTTTTTTCTCCTGCTTGAGCAGCATCTGCCAATTTCCCTGATTTTCCTGCTAATTATCTTCATATTAGCCAGAATTCATTTAACATGTTATGGCTCGAGTAAGACATAGCACTGGCTGAGGAAATAGTGGATATAGAGTTCAAGGTTTATACAATTTGCTTGAATAGAGTGTATGTCCTCCATCTACATTCTTATTTAGAAGTGGGCTTTTGTTTTTAGAACAAGGCACATCTAAATCTGAACTCTGCTGAGTTCTCTTCCTGCTTCTGCTGGGGTTCCATGCCTACGATATGGCATGGCTGATTCTCTCCAGTCCTTCCACTTTCCCTTCTCTAGAATTACATGGGCTTAAGAGCTTGACCTTCAGGTTCAGACAGTAAGTTCATATTCTGGCTCTGCCACTTGATAACTGAGTGTCTGAGAGTGAGTTTGCTTAACTTTCTTAAGCCCTAGTTTCCTCACCTATAAAATAGGATAATATCTATCCAATAAGATTGATATTAATCATAACATATGTAAAGTGTACCTGGAACGTAATAAGCACTCAATAAATGGCAGAGATTGTTATTATTATGATTATTATTGATGAAATTAAAATTGTTTTTGCACTTTTCAGAGTATCGGTAGAGTCACATTTTTGAAGTGCATTTGTATAAATAGAGAAAGTAACAGAGTGCACAAATCTCCATTATTCAGTGTTTAAAGAGAAACCAAAATCTGCAGCATTTCTAGCACCAGTTAGCTTTCTTTGGGTGTTCCAGTCCAGATTTATTAACCATGCTGATTTCAAGAATTGCACAGTGATGAACACAAACATAAATTCACATACACTAGTCAGCTTATATGTATATAGTGTTTATTACATTTTAGAATATGGTATAATAAATTATAGGTAGATGAAAATGGATCCATTAGACTAAAGGAGAGATTTCTCCAAAACACAAATGTTATAATTTTGCAAGTATCTACCATTGTGGGGTAAGTGGGTTAGCCAGTGATTTGGATTTGGGGCAGTATTTTTATGAGACCATTACTGAACCTTTAAAAATGTTGTTGAATCCCCGGTTATTATCTTATAGAGAAATGCTTCAAAGATTGAGGGTGGAACGAGTTTTAACTAACAAAATACAAAATCTAATTTGTGGGAATATGTGAAAATTATAAAATTTATGAGATAAAATTAAATCACTCAGGCCCATCGGTTTCATAAAATTTTAAGTCTGGCTATTGATGTCCTAATTTCTAAACCAGGTTTTTTCTTTATGAAAAAGAACATAAAAAGTATATAATATATGGAAGAAGTCCTGTGTATGAATATATATGTTTTGCCCAAGTTTCTACAGATGGAGTTGGTTGTATCTGGTAATTGGATACAATTAAATGTTAAAGTTTCAGTAATATACCAAAAATATAAAGTACAAGAATAAAAATTCCATTTTCTTTTTGTTCCAGGTTCTCTGGGAGATGCTAACAAGGGAGGTCCCCTTTAAAGGTTTGGAAGGATTACAAGTAGCTTGGCTTGTAGTGGAAAAAAACGAGGTAAGACTACATTTCTCCATTCAGGTACATAGATCAGAAAACAGTATTGGGGTTTTGCAAAAGACTTTTTCATCTTCTTCAAATTGAAAGTAAGTTCACGCTTATGGAAAGATTAGCAGTAGGAGCTAACACAAAGGGTCAAAGTGATGTTATTCCTCATGAATGGACCCTTTACATCTAATTGTTGCAGCTTCACGTCGTGATGCTGTAGATCAAAAATTGTACAAGTACTGTACTAGTTTCTCAGTCTCAATTGTAAAACCTAGGGGTTTGTTCTTAGTGATGAAAGAAGCCATTGCGTCCAAGGTAGGGGAACAGTTTAACTCCATCTCCTGCGTTTAGGACATCTTTTTTACTGGCCGGGAGTTGATATATCTGTAAGAGACCTTCAGCTACTTCAACTTACCTCTCCCAGCAGGAGTCACTATAGTACAAGAAACTGTCGCTTAGATGAGAATTTCAAAAATAAAAGAAGAAAAAATAGTTTCAAAAAAGGGAAAAATTACAGTTTTGCCACCTACGTTGAACACTACATTGAAGATGAGCTCCTCACTGGAATTGGCGAGGCAGTGGCATAACTGTTCGCTTCTTCATGCAGAGCCTTTCCATTTCAAAAGAACTTCAGTGGTGTAAACACCGTTTGTGCTGTGTCCCCAGCCTCGCTTCTCTTCTTCCCACAAATTGAGGCTTTCAGTTAGTTGGACCTATGAGCCTACATCAGAGAACATGGTACATTCATATCAAAGAGAGCAACTACATTTTGAAAGGTTTAAAATTGTGACTGAAATGCACAGCCATGGAAATTCTCAGCATACGGATGAAGCATCCAATATCAAGATATTATGAGAACTTAGATTATGTAATGGAAGCACGCAGTTGTCTTTGCAATGCAAAACAACTTTATTTTATAAAGCTTCTTCATTTCCAAATCTTATCTGTGCCCTCCATAGAGGGTAAGAGTGCAACCTTAGGGTAAAATAATTTGTAAAAAAGTGAATATATAAAGATATTCCCTTTTTAATGCCCTAAAAGAATTAGATTGATCTGCTCCTCATGTCAGTGTAGGAACAAACCAAATTAATCAAAAAGCTGCTATTGTCTAGGAGAAACCAAGTTTCCATATTTTAGATCACATAATCCAGGATACCTGAAAATTTGTCCTCCTGATACATTAGCGATGGATGAAATGTTGATGATAGCTGAACTTGATGGGAAAGAGCTGCCAATTTAAGAAAAGGAGCTATGTGCAAGAATCTGCCCTACTCATTGTTTCACAGAAGCTGTTCTGTTTTAATTAAACGTGGTAGTCGTTCTTAGTGTGCTATTAAATAAGATTTCACACACAGCGTAACTGATACTTTCTTAATATGAGGACCCACTTGTTTCTGTTCTGGTTTTTTTTTTACCAGTGAGCGGATTAGATGTCTTGTTCTGGGTTTACAGATGAAAGTGAAGAAAATTATTGACCTTGTGTTGACTCAGGAGCAGAACACTCAGTGTAATCTTTTCCCTCTACACTGTTCTGAGATAAACTAGGAGAAAGTTTTTTGTTTTTTTAAAGCTAACTGGACCCTCTAAGTATGTATAAGACAGAAAAATATTTTTAAAAAATAATTTATCTAAAGTTTGGCAGAATAGATGTAAATCTAAAGCATTTTTTAAAATATTGGAGTATCTGTCAAGGATTTTTAAAGCTGAAGAAAAAAATAAATTTAGGCCGGGCGCAGTGGCTCATGCCTCTAGTCCAGTCCTAGCACTCTGGGAAACCGAGGTGGGAGGATCACTTGAGCTCAGGAGTTTGAGACCAGCCTGAGCAAGAGCAAAACCCCGTCTCTACTAAAAATAGAAAAATTAGCCAGGCCTGGTGGCAGGAACCTGTAGTCCTAAACTACCCAGGAGGCTGAGGCAGGAGGATGGCTTGAGCCCAGGAGTTTGAGGTTGCAGTGAGTTACAATGACATACTACTGCACTCTACCTGGGGCAATCAGGTGAGACTCAGTCTCAAAAAAAAAAAGAAAGAAAGAAAGAAAATTAGAAGCTCCTGGATATTTGACTTGAGGGTTGGGAATTACCCATGAATAACCTTCAGAACCTCTTCAGCATTGTACATGAGGAATCGTGTTCTCCCCAGAGATCACATCCAGTAGAATTTACTGTTTTATTCATGGTGTCCTGATGATCAGCTAATAACTGATGACTGCTCAAATACCTCTCATACTGTATTTATTAAACATAATACTACTAAGTTGAAAGAAACCCACATGGTGAAATAAATTTTCTCAACTTTGTAATGGACTTAAGTAAAACTGGGTATTAGAAGGATATTTATCTGCTGTTCTTATTCTGCACAAAATTTGTCAAAAATATGGAAATTAAGTTTAAATGCAATTTTCAGTGTCATTATTCAAGAAGGTATCTTCATTTTTACCTCATAAATGGAGGCACTCATTTCCAAAACAAATTCTGTTGGCGTAGCATTAAAGTAATTCCCAAGGTTTTATTTCATTTCATAATAAAATCGAGACTTTAACCTAAATATGATTTATACAATCCTTTCAACTTCTAATTATTTTATTTATTTTTACTGTTGAATATCTTGGGTTAAAAGGAAAATGCCATATTTTTAACAAGCCTCATTTAAATAAAGAATGATGTGTCTAAACTTTCAGGGACTCATTTTGAATGTGATCTAGTCACCCTATAACGTTTATATCCAAGTATTAGGGTTGCCTTTTAACTTTTTATTTTGAAGTAATTATAGACTCATAGAAATTTGCAAAAATATTACAATGAATTCTGTGTATACTTCACCTAGCTTCCCCCACTGGTGACATCTTACATATCTGTAGTATATACTGTCAAGACCAGGGAATTAAGATTGATACATTACTAGACAATAGACCTTACTCACTTTCACCATTTAGGATCGCTTTTTGCATCTATAGGAAAAGCAATACTTTCTAAAAATATATCTGAAGATCTTTGTTTCTAAACCCTTAATAATGAAATAAGGCCTTTAGGCAATCATTTTTCTAATTTTAAATCTTGTTAAAACTAGATTCATAAAGCACTGCTAAATACAAAGTAAACAATGAACCTTTATAGAAGGCATGAAATTAAGAGGGCATTACTAGTAAATTTTTTAAATGTAACAGATATGTATATTTGCTTTTGTCATTTCCATGGAACTCAAATCAGTAGTCATTCAGAATGTTCTGGCAGCATAATTTCTATTTATATAAATATTTAGATTCTTATATATAATGCGTTTTCTTCTAAGTAGCAAAACTATTTGATTAACATAAAAATCTTCGTAAAACTCAATCTGCTCTTGACTATACTTCAGAAAAAAAACTTGACAAAAAAATCACTTTTATATCTTATGCAGAAAATGGTACAGAAATGAATATGGTCTTTACAAAATGTCATATATACCTAATCTAGTGATTGGGAAACATTTTAATTCGAAACTTTTATTTTAAAATATTTAAGTTTTAAGTAGTGTTGCAAACCTGGTGCTAAGATCTGGTTATTTCAGAATGTTTTAATGCATTAGGAATGCCCACAGTTATATAATCAGGACTTAAATACTTTGGATTCTATTTTAAAGTACTTTTTAATGCACCAAAATAATCCATTACATAAAAGTGTCTGAGTGCAGATTTACCTGATATTTGACCATGTCATATTATTTAAAATAATTGTGTCTCCTTGTGTAACGTCTCAGATGTGATATCTAAACAGTTTTTCAGTAAGAAAAGATGACAGAAATGATCAACATCCATATTCAGCCAGTCCACATTTTAGTTATTAGAAAAATGTTGGGACAAAGTTATATTGAAAAATGTTACCCTTTACAAAAACTTATTATTTTTAGTTACACATGGAATATATTCAGTTGCATAATCGCAATTATAATCTGTTTTTATTAGTTCCTACCTCCTCATCATTTTATATTAAAAAAAGAGGAAAACACCTGAATTTTCATTTGACCTTGATCAAAAGGTTTGCAATTCACATTACAGTAAAATAATAGCACAGTTTAATATATCTTGTTCTATTCTGTGCAATCACAAGACTAGAAGTTAAAAGTACTTCGCATAGCCTTTAATTTGGAGAGAGTTGTTTTGTTTTTAACTTTATCTTGTTTTGATTTTAAGATTATCTGTAATTCCAAGATTGTCAGTTTTCTTGCCAAGGCAACTATTTTTTAGTTTCACACATAGCCTCCCCAAATCCAACTAATTCAGTTTTAAGTTTTTTATTTGTAAAACTTCTTCGGCAGACAATACTGTGGAATGAATCTCAGTACTTCTTAGTACCAGCAGTTCTCAACTCCATCACACCCAGTGCTCTTTTTATAACAACCGTGTTAATGTTCCCCACTCCCCTGAAATGAAATTCAGAGGTAACAAAATGCACCTACACATATATTTTAAGTCAGTACAATGCTCTAACTGCAATATAAAAGAGAAATAAATGAAATATGCATTGCAATGTACAAATGTTCAGGCATGACCACACTAGAGAAGATAGTGGAGCAGTTTTAGGTGCTCACATCCATGAATAAGTAAAATTCAGCAGCTGCAAATGTAGCCTGCAAGAGTTGGGTTGTATTAAGGACTCCAATACCAGGAGCAGCACTGTTGTCAGGTGACATCTTTCAACAATTTTGGTAAAGTTATAAATAATGCAAAAATCAATCTGCCTTTGATTTATTCTATTTGGTAGTTGCATTCTTGGAAAACTTAGTGTATTTTGAAACTGTTCAAAAAATATTGTATTTATTTGTAAATTAAAGTTAGATTCTAGGCCCAGAAATGATAAACCTCATTGTTTGCTTGCTTTACTTACTTGAATGCACATGGGACATTTGAAATTTGGTACAAGAGAGTTCTTGATCACATAGGACTTTATGGTATAATGAACTATGTCTAGCATTCCTGACCTGCTCCCGTTAAAGGTCAGTTGCAACCCTCCAGTCTCTAAAACAAACAATTGCTTCTGCAGAATAGGGGCATCACATGTTCTATAGAACCACTACTGTAGAATGTAACAGGACCAATCCTCACATTGTAATTTGTGTTGTATTAGATCCTTACGATATATGGATTTGACCAAAACAAAGCTGTAATAAGTCATACTTTCAGAATATCTTATTTGCCAGTAAAGTAATGCACAGTTCTTTAAAATTATCTCTGTGATCCTCTGTGCTAAAGGTGTTTTCAGAGTTGTACACCTACTGCCAAAGCTAAACTGGTTTCCTAGTTACCTGGCCTAGGTACATGTATTTTTTTTTTTTACATGTATTATAAGTTGCCTATGAAAGTATAGTGACTTGTGGTTTTAGATTTAGTGTGTAAGTTCCAACTTGCCCCTCTCTTACTGTAGTTTCTTTTAGACTTGATTTTATGTTTTATTGCATATGTTGTGCTGAACCTCACTCTCCATCCACTACATTTCCTCTTTGGAGAAAAAATATGAGTCTTTAGAGATCAGGTATCATGAATCTAAACATAAATGGTCACCTGTCACATATTAACACATTAACTGCCATGTGAGTTGTATTTAACTCATGCTAGTTTTGAGCCCGGGGCCTCGTGAAGCATATGTAACTACACCTCTCTGAGACCTTGGAAGCCGTGTGAACTATTTTTCAAATTGCATACAACTCATGCACAGAAAACAATAAAAAATAACAAATTTTTCATTAAGTTAGAAAAGGTTGTTTTGGTTTTGAAGTTTTTATTCTATTTTTGTAATAAAACACTGTGGCCCCAAGGAAAACAATTTTTTTCTTAGTGTGGTAGTCAATGTGTTAATCAATGGAAGCTTTAAATTTCATGTCTTGCTTATGCTCTTAAATTAACTTTTATGACCCTTCAAATAGTATTTGCTTGCTTAATGAATAAATCCCTGTGTTTTATTTTGTTTTGCTTTCCCTGTCTCTGTTGTAGAGATTAACCATTCCAAGCAGTTGCCCCAGAAGTTTTGCTGAACTGTTACATCAGTGCTGGGAAGCTGATGCCAAGGTATATGCATATTTTGTTGTTGTCGTTATTGTGAATTCTGAATTTCACTTTGGCTTTGAGTTTTTAAAACTTGGGGCAATAAAATCCATTATAAAGCAAAGCTGGATTGATGTTCCTGCGAGCCCTAGATTGTTAAGGTTTTCTTTTGATGTCTGCTTATCTTGACCTCTATACACTCATTAACTCTTACAGTATTATTTGACATTCTTGACTCAGTAGAAATAATTTTATCCTTTTTCAATCTTTAATAATAACTGTAGCACATTTATGTTATAAAATGGCTAACACATAATACAATATGCCAGGTACTGTTCCAAGTGCTTTATGTATATTAACTCATTTATTCCTCAGAATATCTCTATGAAATAGGTAATACTATTATCCTCATTTTACAGATGAAGAACCAAGGCACGTAGAGCTTAGGGAATGAGCTGAGGGCCACATAGCACTTCTGGGGAATCTTGATATGTGCTCCCTGTCCAGTTTCACTGATTTTTTTTTTTTTTTTTTTTTTTTTTTTGAGACAGAGTCTGGCTCTGTTGCCCTGGCTAGAGTGCTGTGGTGTCAGCCTAGCTCACAGCAACCTCAGACTCCTGGGCTCAAGCGATCCTCCTGCCTCAGCCTCCTGAGTAGCTGGGACTAAAGGCATGCGCCACCATGCCTGGCTAATTTTTTCTATATATATTTTTTTACTTGTCCAGATAATTTCTTTGTATTTTTAGTAGAGACGGGGTCTTGCTCTTGCTCAGGCTGGTCTTGAACTCCTGACCTTGAGCGATCCACCTGCCTTGGCCTACCAGAGAGCTAGGATTACAGGCATGAGCCACCGCGCCCGGCCTCTCACTGATGTTTTTGAGCTGTCACAACAGAGTTGGAGAAATTCCCCAACTTAGGCTTTCATGTGGTTATCACATTTGAGCATGAATGGCCCATTTCCTTTCCCTGCAAAGATCATTCTAAAAACAGACTCTTGCATACATACGGAAATGTTTACGGAAATGTTTACAGATAAAACGATAGACTGGTCTTGGATTTGCTTCAAAATAAAGTGAAGGGAAATGGATGATGGTATAGATTAAATAACATAGGCCATGATAATTTTTGAAGCTGAGAGATAAGTATGTGGAGTTTCATTATACTGTTCTCTCTACTTTTGTGTATGTTTGGAATTTTCCATAATAAAAAGTTAAAAAATAAAAAAGATTCTCACAGATTAAACATTAGAGTAAGAGAGCACTTGCACTCAAAAAAGGAACAAGAATTTTATAGTTCGTATTTGTCCAGTTTTTCATAGAAAAAGAGGTGTTACAACTTACCTTTTAAATAGAGACCTAAAAAAGAAGTATTAAAGAATAGAATTTCTTCCTTAATTTAAACCCAATTAAATCCAATCCAACCCCTGAGAAGAATGAATGATGATAACATACAGTCTGTTCTTCTACAACATGTTTCTTTGCTGGGAATAACTCAGAAACAATTGGTGAGTGTGAGGACTATGTTAGTAAAACACAGAACTCATGTTGCTTCATACATAATGTTTCCCAGCGCATTATTCTGCACTGAGTATAAAGTTTAATGATGCAGCCAGCAAGGCAGCTAGGGACCCAGTGCTGTGAAGTCCGAACTCCATGTGTTCCCTCTTGGCTTGGCTTGGCTTGGCGTAGAGGGGCTTGTTGGAGGTCCTCCCTAGCTGTGTGCATTTTGCCTTTGCCCTGAGAACCAGCAGCCTTAATCTTTGCTTTCATTCCTATTCTTCAAACTTCCTTCACCCTTTTTAAAAGTAGAGTCCTATATTCACTTAGTATTATTTTTGTTAAAGAATTTAACGTTTTTTAACTGTGTTAGTATTTTTACTTAGGATCGTTATTCTTTCTACTAGTATTCCGTGACAAAGCTGCATGAGTTTTGAGTGGTCTGCCCTATCCCTGTTTAGGCCCTATTGTTTTTAGCATGTGATTTTGCAGAATGTGGGGATTTTTATTGCTGGCACTTTGCAATTAATCCAGTAGAAATTATAAACAGGTATTTGCAAGCTTGCTTTAAAACGCTTATTTTACACTGTTAAAATGGTATCATACTACCCTTTCCCTACTCTTTCTACCAGTTATATGTCCATTGTGATATGTAAGTAATTTTGGTGTACTTTTCTTTCTGATACTTAAATGGAAGTTTTGCCTGAAATTATTTGCATTGAATTAGATTATTGCACCTGGTTGCTATAATTGTAGTTATATTTCAGTATGCAACGCAGCTTTTGAGTTACTTAATTGGAAACTCAATATTACATTAATTAAAATTTTAAGAATATACATTGATAGTACATTGATTAAATGATAGTATAAATATCTTACACAATAAGGACATTGAGTCCAGTGTTGAAGCCATGAAGTCGGCATGTCTTGAACACGTAGACTAACCCTTCTTTAGGACCAAAGCAATCTTGTGTTCCAGCCATGTGAAGTATAAAGAAAGTTAAAGATTGATTTTTATTTTCTAAATTCATGACTTTTTTTCTGATAAAACAGCTACTATCCCCGGTATTTGAGTTAATTGAACATCTGGCCGCAGCCCACGTTTCCAACTCTCACTGCTAATCTCTAGACACACCTCATGTACCTTCATTCCCGGGACATGCTCTCTTCGTTCTTTTCTTTCTCCCCTGAATACTTCATCACCAAGCCTTTCCTGGTTATTCTGTTTACCCCAGCCCAGGCTTAGTACTCCTTTCCCTAAACCACAGTCTGGGCTACTGCCTTACCTTGTACTATTATATTTTTAAAATATCTTTTCTTCCTAAAGGGATCGCAAGCTCTACGAGGGAATAGGGCTAGTTTTTATGTCTGTTTCCCTATTGTACTTTACATCAGTTTAGTAGTTTAGTAGGCCCAATTTTGTTGCCAGACCACAGTAAATGTCCTAAGAGGCACATTTTAGTTTTCTGGCTAGAAATATGTAGCAATTCAACCAGAAGTTGCTACCTGTCCTATGTATGTATGTAGAACAATAGTTGGTTAAATTAGTTTAATATTTTTTTTTCAGTCCTTACACTGTAGAGTATTAACACCTAGATTAAAATATTCAGCTCAACTATAGGACTGGCATTCTTTTTTTCTTTTTTTTTTTTTTTTGAGACAGAGTCTCACTCTGTTGCCCTGGCTAGAGTGAGTGCCGTGGCGTTAGCCTCGCTCACAGCAACCTCAAACTCCTGGGCTCAAGCGATCCTCCTGCCTCAGCCTCCCAAGTAGCTGGGACTATAGGCATGTGCCACCATGCCTGGCTAATCTTTTTCTATATATTTTTAGTTGTCCGATTAATTTCTTTCTATTTTTAGTAGAGACGGGGTCTCGCTCTTGCTCAGGCTGGTCTCGAACTCCTGACCTCAAACAATCCACCCGCCTCGGCCTCCCAGAGTGCTAGGATTACAGGCGTGAGCCACCGCGCCTGGCCTAGGACTGGCATTCTTTTGCAATGAGAATGGGGAGATGTATACAGCAGAAAGCTGGTATTAGGTAAACGTCAGGTCATTCTCGTGGCTTACATCAGGTGCTCAAAATATTTTATGGAAGAGAAGGAAGAAAAGAAAAGTGGGTATTGGTTCAAGTCCTAAAATGACATTTCTAAATAAGGAAAAAATAATAGTTAAAGCCATGAGTTTGATAGGAAGTAATATCTTACCCTTATGTGATAAAAGATGTTGAAGAATTTAAGAGCAGAACTCTTGGTTCCATAACTTTCTTCCTGTGTGATGCTAGGCAGTTCATACTTTTCTGAGATAGTTATCTTTACCTGTATAATGAAGATAACAGATAAGGGAAAAATATTTAGAGATGCTTAATAAATGGTCCTAGTTATGATTTTTTTTTTTTACATAAACAAAGCCTGTATCATACCTAAAAAGAACCTAAGCCCCTTCAGAGGCACTTATGTAAGATCCTAGACCAAATGGTATCTTCTGTAACCAGAATACACATAAAATATTATTACCACAAAATTCTTCATTGTTGTTTCAAGTGTTCACTTTGATCATTTCTATCCAAGAGTAGACCCTAACTATAAAATTAAGATTTTTTTCTAGGATGCTTGTCATCCAGTTACAAAAGAATTGCACGTTATTTCAAGAATGATTAAATGTAGGGGAAAATATTATTTTTAAAAAATTCATTAGCTCCTCCTCCTTTTCCTTGCAAAATGAAAATTTTTTATGTATTATATAATTAGTTCCTGTACAAACAATTAAAACATTTTTCTTTTAAAACCTGACACATTATGAGAGAAATTAAGATGAGAACAAAACTGAAGAAGATAAACTAAAGAAGATAAACAGAATATTTTTCAAGCTTCCTACTTAAGGCATTTTCTTCTTTGTTTATTATAAGGCTTAATGTACATCAGTAACATTTAGCTACTTATGCCCTCTTCTTAAAACATACACACACGTGTGCACGTGCACTTGAAAGAGAACAGTGATGACAGAACTCAGTGAGTATTCCAGTTTTAGATTTCTGAGAAGTGGAAAAATTGCTTTTCTTAATAACATAAGAAGCACTCAAGTCCTGAGAGCAAGCCACCCCAACATTGTTCCTTCTTGTTTTTGTGCTGCTAAATTAAAATGCATGTTTTAATTGCTGCAACTATAATTTGTTGAGAAATGGTATAATTATGAGGCATGATGAAGAGAGAACGTGCATCATCCTTTTTATTATCTCTCTCCCCTTTTGTTTTAACCTTTTGTCTCAACCTTGGCTAGAGTCTAAAGAGATAGACTAGTGTAGTTACTGCTAGCTCAGGAAATACCTTTAACCACGGCTCATTTCTAGTAAACAACACCTTACAGTGTCCCAGCACTAAAGCTAGTTATAACATGAAGTAAATAATTGAGAATAGTGACGTTATGATGACTTTCTTTTTCTGATTGACTTATCTGGGAAATTTTATTAGTTCCAATAGATTGTGAGGTAGACTTTTCCCCCAACATTTTATTATAAAAATTTTCAAACATACAGAAAAGCTGATAGAATTTTACAGTGAACACTAGCATACGCACCATACAGACTCTACCTTTTATTTTTACCAGCTTTATCACATAGGTAGATTTTTAAAGGACTTTTTCCCTTTAGGAGTCCTTAATCATAACTAAAAGAGATTATTACTATTCTCCTTACCTAGAGAGAAACACTAATTATCCCAATCTTAGGCCACATAGTAGAAAAACAGTATCTGCATTTATCCTTATGAATGATTAATTGAAAATAAAGAATACAGTTCTCTAAACTTGAGTGGTCTGATGGTTGTAAAATAACTAAATCAGGACATTGTATCATGTTTTATTTTGTTGTGGTGGATTGAGTTTATCACTATGCTTGTGGACATCTACATTTTCTCTTAAAGAACTCCTTTCTTAAGTCCCAATAAGTGATTACTTATTTTCTCTTCTGCAGAAACGGCCATCATTCAAGCAAATCATTTCAATTCTGGAGTCTATGTCAAATGACACAAGCCTTCCTGACCAGTGTAACTCATTCCTGCACAACAAGGCAGAGTGGAGGTGGGTAGCCTGACACGAAGCCACAATTTCTCGCTTTGAAAGTCCATGACTAGTCTCAGTGAAGAAGAGAATAAGAGGCCTTGATGACAGTCCTGATGATTAAGCATAGCTTAGGAAAAAAACAGTTTTTAAAAGGATTTGGGAGATACAATATGTCCTTCATTTCATATGTAAGCAAAAAAGAATGTTTTTCTAAGCTTGTTGCCTTATTATATATCTCAGTATTTGGAAAGAAAATTGAAATCATATCTTCTGAGGCAAAAGATGGTTACCAGACATTTCTCTGTATACAGCTTCCTAACTTTAAGCTTTGGCTTCTGTCCAGTAAGAAATAAGAATGCTTGGCTGTGTGCTGTGGCTCACGCTTGTCATCCTAGCACTCTGGGAGGCCGAGGCAGAGGATTGCTTGAGGCCAGGAGTTCAAGACCAGCCTGAGCAAGAGCGAGACCCCATCTCTACTAAAAATAGAAAAATTAGCCGGGCCTGGTGACACGCACCTGTAGTCCCAGCTACTTGGGAGGCTGAGGCAGGAGGATCCCTTGAGCCCAGGAGTTTGAGGTTGCAGGGAGCTATGATGAGGCCACTGCTCTCTAGCCCTGGGCAACAGTCTCGCTCTGTCTCAAAAAAAAAAAAAAAAAAAAAAAAAAAAAAAAAAAAAAGCTGTTTGCCTTGAAATTTGCAGAGCACAGTAACTGCTATAAAAACACTTTTTTTTTTTTGAGACAGAGTCTCACTCTGTTGCCCGGGCTAGAGTGAGTGCTGTGGCGTCAGCCTAGCTCACCGCAACCTCACACTCCTGGGCTCAAGCGATCCTACTGCCTCAGCCTCCCGAATAGCTGGGACTACAGGCATGCGCCACCATGCCCGGCTAGTTTTTTCTATATATTTTTAGTTGTCCAATTAATTTCTTTCTCTTTTTTAGTAGAGACGGGGTCTCGCTCTTGCTCAGGCTGGTCTCGAACTCCTGAGCTCAAACGATCCGCCCGCCTCGGCCTCCCAGAGTGCTAGGATTACAGGCGTGAGCCACCGCGCCCGGCCTAAAAACACTTTTAAAAGAAAACTTTGGATGTTATAAATACTACTAAAATTTATTAAGTGTAAAACAAACTTAGTAATGAGAGAATTGTATGAGTGGAAAAGTAAGCCCAGGATGAAACATTTTAGCCAGGTCACCTGCTGCATGAATATAAATAGCATATTTGGGAGCTGACATTATTCCTGCCCTGACTCAGCAGAGACTGTAAGTAACTTCATCTCCCTTCCTGATAGCCATGGCGGTAACATGACGCCTTACGCCATCTGCTGATGCCAAACGAATACTGCATGCACTTTGAAAATGAACTGAGTTGTTTACTCCTATTATTAGACATTTCTTTGGGCTTTCTGTTTGATTGGTGTTTTACAATAACCTGATTTATTTTTATTCCTTTGAAGTATCTCTCTAGGGCCAGTGAGTTAAATGAATTTTTATTTAAGGACACAAAAGTTATACTGTGAGCTCACATCTAGGTATGAGGGACTTTTTTCTTAACAAAACATGTAAGTCATATTCATTTCGTACAGTAAGAGATCAGTGCACATTTAATCAGATCATACCCTTTAAAATCCATATATGAGTTCCCAATACTCTTAAGACAAAGACCAAAATATTTAAGAAGACTCATAAGACCCTCTGTACTCTGGCCTCAACAGCCCCATCTTAAGAACATCATTCTGCCCCTTAATTTCTGGCTTTTAATCCCTCAACAGATGCTTATTTTTCCCTTATTCAGGGTCTTTGCAAATGCAGTTTCTTCTCTCTAAAACTTATCCCGTTTTCAGCTGCACACCACCTCCGCCACCCGTACCCCACATTAGCTGCTATTGGCCATTCACATACCAGCTGAACAGTGTCTTCAGGGAAGTGTTTCCTGACCCCAGGCCAGATCAGGTTCCACTTTATGTGCTCTGAGAGCATCTCTTTCATAGCCTTTACTGCTATTGGAATTAATTCTGCAGGTATTCAATGTATGTCTCACAGGCTAAAATGTAAGAGGGACTGACAATCACTTCTGTTCATCATTGTACCCACGGCATCTAGAGTGTTCCTCGAACACAGCATTTGCTCAATAAATACTGGGGAAGGAAGGAAGAAAATACCATAGTGGTAATGTAAAAAGACATTATGGTATTAAACAAAAGAATATAAATATGTAGATTAATTTGTTTGCCATGACAAAAGTGCTTTTTGTATTTGTTCATTCATCATTCATTTGTTGAACTTCTGCTGGTGTGAAAACCACTGGTGCTGTTCTAGGTTTGGGCTGTAGCACAGAGCACAACAGTCCTGATGCACATGGAGCTCTTGGAGCTCTCCAGCAGGAGTGCCCAGTATTAAATCATTAAATATAAATATACAAAAAACTATCTCATTACTATTTTGATAAGTATATGACAGAAGTACTAAATGTATAATATAGAGCACGTAACTATGAAATCTAATGTAGTCTGAGGATATAATAAAAGGATTCCTAGGGGAAATGCTATTCGATCTATTGTCCAAGGGATTTGTAGGATTTTAATACTAATACCTTTGAGATGAGGAGTTTTTTAAAGCATGTCAACAAAATCAGAAAGCAGGTAGAAAGTTAGTTAAGTTTTCTATGTAAAAATTTAAAACCTCCATTTGGCCAAAAGTAATACCCATCATAAATAAATTTCCAAGACAAATGACATACGTTATAACTTTTCCCCCTATATGATAGAGCAACAGCTCTCAAACTTTTTGGTCTCAGGACTGCATTACACTCTTAAAAATTATTGAGGGCAACAAAAACTTTTATTTGAATGAGTTATATCTGTCAATATTTACCACATTCAAAATTAGCAGAGGAAAAATTTGAATATGTATTTATTGATTCATTTAAATAACAATAATCCTGCTTGTGCACTCAACCTACGGCACTATCAACATGTCATGAAGCCTCTGGAAGACTCTGTACATTTGTGAGAGAATGACAGTAGAATAGGCAAATCCTGTATTAGTGCTTTTCTGAAAAACAATTTATCCTCAAGAATCCTTTAAAAAGGTCTCGTGGGTCTCCAGATTACACATTGAATACTGCTGTGATAGAGTTTCTGTCTTTAAAGTAATATTTTCATTAAAATATTATACTAAAAGACATGAAAAGGCATGAAAGAAGAAATCAAATGACTAATAAACATATGAAAAATATTCAGCCTCACTTAGCAATCAAATAAGTATAAAGGAGCATAATTAATCAGATTGGTGAAAATATACATTATGAAAATATCCAAAGCTATAGGCTTTCTCATATATTCCTGGTGGGAAAATACTACCTTTATGGATGACAGTTTGGCAGTATAGATCAGATGCTCTAAAAATGTTCATATTCTTTTTCCTAGAGAGTCTACCATGACCAGTTTATTCGTAAGAAAATAAATGGGAGGGCTGTGCAAGAATGTATGGACACTTGTTCAGCAAAGCATCGTTGAAAAATGTAAAACTAGAGGTGGCATGAGTGCAATAAAAGGGAAATGGCTTTAAAAAATGCTGTCACCATACACAGAACAATCTGGAGCCACTTCAATAACACAGATCTGATAATGATTTAAAAACAGAGACTACAGGGTAGTTTCTTTAGAATAACCCATATTTTATGAAATATATATTTATGTGTATATGTACATCTACATAGAGAAAAGTATCATAAAGTGTTAGCACTGGGTAATGGGATTATGGAAGAATGTTTTCTATTTGTATATCTTTATTTTCTACTTTTACTACATTAAGCCTGGATTAGTTGAATGATAAATTTAATTTTTAAAATGCTCAAAGATAAAAAATGAGGGGAATAAAGTTGGTAATACAGGATGGAGGAAAAAGAGATAAAATACATTCATGTATTTTAGTAAAAGGCATACAGTAAACCACAGCTTGAGAAGCGGCAGAGCTGTTTTAACTGAACTTGGCAATTGGTTAAAAACATGAGGAATAATTATATTAATTATAATAATAATAAACACAGTTGTCATTTATTAGGTTCTTACCAGATGCTTGTACTTCATTTGGATTATCTTTTTGAATCCCCATAGCAACCCTAAATTATATCACAGATGCAAAAACTGAGGCCTAGGCATGTTGGGTAACTTGCCCGAGATCATACAGTACTGAGACGGAGCCAGCGCCAGAGCCCAGGTGGACTGTGACGCGGGCCTGCTCTGCGCACGCGCTGTGCACTGCTCTGCTAGACCTGTGGCCACCATCATGCTGTCTCCTCATTGGCGTGCAGTATACACTTGACTAGATTCCTTTTTAGCTAAGAGAAATATTACAAAGCATGATTGTTTCAGATTATCATTAAGACAAAAAGACTGTCTAACCCCGTATGCAAAGTGCTGAAAGGAATTATGTGTTTTTCTTAGATAATCTGGATATTCCAAAGGACAACACTACTGCTTTTCTTTCTCCCAACTTCTGTCTGGTGTCTGAAACCATGTGACTGGTGTTTTCGTAAATTAGAGTCACAGCGAAGTCTGACTCCAATACTGCTGTGATGTTTCTGGCAAATGATTGTTTTCTGGTAGAGCTTCCTCTACACATCAGCCAGATGGAATCTGTATTTTTAGAAAACTGAATAATTATTCTGAAAATTCTTTTTAAAACTAAATTATTAAAAACCACATAAACTATGTTATTTCCTTTGACCTAATAAGTGATAGGAAAGAATTCTAGTGTCAGGCCCATCCTTGTTCATCAGAACTTCAGCTTGTTTCTCTTCCTGTTGACTTGTTAGCAGTAATGACAATGAGCATTAAGAACAGAAAATGCATCATCCCTTTGATCATGTGTTCAATTTTCATCCACCCATGTGACTGCCTGCAGACCTGTGGTACTCTGCACCGAGTGAGCTATGCAGTGTTGCAATGAGCTTTCAGAGCTGTGTCTCTTGGCAAAGTACTTCTTTGGTTGTTTTTCCTCAGTGACCAAGTACTGTCACCATGACATGCCTTCTTAAAAACAAAAAAACAGAGATGAAAAAATGTAATCTTTGCAATTTGGATGTTAGCACAAATCATGTAATATATAACACTAAATTTAATACACGTATATTTATCATGTAATATATATGCCGTATCATTCTTTTTACCAATTGACCTTTTCTTTCAGAGTAAGTTTTTGTGTGACGAAAGAAGATAATTACAGTTTATTGCCTGTTTTTGGCATATGGAAAATCTATACTAGTTGAAATTGACCTTGTTGGATTTGGTTTAAGAGAAAACCATAATTTCCATCAACTAAGACACTGAAACTATATCTTTAGAATAGCAAGGTAATATAAATTCATTAACAAATGCATTTGATACAAAACAATGCACCAGCAAAAACAGCTAGGGCAGCGGCTGGCTGTGTTTGTGCCGTCTCTAGGCCGGGTTACATCTCACATATAACCTCAGTCTATTTCAGGTCCTGGGGTCAGGAGAGCAGTGTTGGAAAGCTGGGCCTGAGGAGACAATTTTGAAGATTTACTCACTGTTTGCTTCTGTGCCACAGCTTTCAGCTTATTTAACTGTTGATCTGTTTCCCAGAAGGGCTCACAATTGCAGTGGGCTCCCGGGGCTGGAACTTGAGATGAATCCTTGGCTTAAATTACAAGTGAAATAGAAGGTGTTGACCATTTACCCTGATCAAAAAGAACATCAGTGAGATCAGTCTTGCTGGCAGGAGCGTGGGGACTGACTTGGCAGAAGCGCTTGTGTAGACCACAGACCAGGCTGCTGCCAGCTGGCCTGTGGGCCTGCCCAGCTCTGCTGCCTCCTTGTCGCCTCTGACTCTCAGTGGTTGAAGATGGCTCGCTCTTTCCCTTTTTGTGACAAAAGTTTACCCTAAGGGTGTTTTTTCCCCTTCAATCCTCCATTGAAAATAAAAGCAAACATTTTTTGTTTATGTGAATGGGCATATTTTTGTCAGAAATATCAGGGATAAAATTTGGATTTTATCATAGTCATAATCCTGAAAGATAGCTGATTTAGTGCCTTTCTTTAGGGACTGTAACGTGACTTTACCTATATCCTTTAATGATTTTTTAAATGGCACCAGTAAAAGAGACAGAGCGTTGATATTTGTGGGCTGTGCAGCAGATGCTTTCTATGTTTAATTGTGACCGCCTGTGCTCTGAGGTGCTTTTCAGACAAGCAGAGAAGTGAAGTGTTGGACCCAAATCTAGACCCACCGCCATAGCTGTTCCCTGAGTTGGGTTTATCAGTTAATAGCTTGAATCTTTCTGTTTTCATTCATTTAGTTCTCATCTATAAGAGCACTGGAATAAGCTCTTCACTTATTCTGATTTTCCCCAGAAAGAAAAAGGCAGATTTTGATCACATGTGCTCATTAACTTACATGTGGAGACTTCTACCTTCCATACTCAAGGTCTGAACCGTGATTATGCAGTTGCAACACAGGTTTGTCTCGGGGGCACCTGGAAGCAGCTGCTGACAGCACTAAGCAACTATTCTACAGCAGTTACCTATTTCCAGGCCCTTCCTTCTTCCAGATTCTTCTCTCTGGTGCCTTCTCTAGCCTTGACTTCTCTCTCCCTCTCTCTCATTCTCTCATTACTGATACTCACAGACTCTTGAGAAGCTCAAGGGAAAGAACTTCCAGTTCTCAGAGCATAAATTTAGACTTAAACATTGTGACAACCCTGAAGGAGAAAAAAGTTTGTGCTGAGCCATCTCAGCTGTTTCGATTTCTGTGCAGGGCAGGTTTCTAGAACAGGGCTTATTGTTCCAAGTGGTGAGCTAGGTTGGCCTATAGAGACTAAGGAAAGAGTTCCCTTTAAAAATTATTAATATTAGAGTTAAAAAGAGCCTCAGAGTTAATCTAACCCAGGTTTTCCTATACTTGCCTGATTGTAAAAATTACTTGAGTCTTTTATTAAATAATGAAAATTGTTAGGCCCCACCCAGCCTTACTAAATCATGAGCTTCAAGGAAAGGTCCTAGGAATCTGTATTTTGTTGGTTTTTTGGTTCATTTGGTGTTGTTTCTTTTTTTTAACAAGCAGCCTAGGTAAGTGTTAAGATCAGGCAAGTTGGGGAGCCCTAATGTAATATAACCACCGCCCCTTACTACCAAGGAAACTGAGTCAGGTTAATCAATTGGTTGCTTGGGTTACTCAGCCAATGAGGAGTCTAAAGTATCATCTCAACCACTCACTGATAGTGTGATTTTGATCACCTAACCTGAGTATTGTTTTCCCATCTATAATGTTATATGTGATTAATACCTGTTTTGGGGGCTGTTATGGGAGTAAGATGAAATAATATATAATAGTGCTTTGTAAAGAGCTAGATGAATGTAAGTATTTATTACATGGCTGAACCCGGACAGGAGCTCCCATAGCTTATGCTGCACCCCGGTGGAATTTCAGTATTTTGTTGAAATATTTTGAGCTTATTTTTCCAACTAGAAACTACCTGTTGATTTTTAAGAATATGCAAGATTTCTTCTTCTCTTGTAGTTTCCTGATTGATCTAAAAGCACATGTGTTAGTCTTTTACTTTGATGAGCATTCTGATGCACCAGTAAGCGTTTGATATCTCGTAAGCTGGAGCTGGGTGTGGTGACTCTCACCTGTAGTCCCAGCTACTCGGGAGGCTGAGGCAGGAGGATTGATTGAGCCTGGGAGTTCCAGGCTGCAGTGAGCTGCGATCACCCCACTGCACTCCAGCCTGGGCTACAGAGCGAGACCCTATCTCTTTTTTTAAAAAAAAATTGCATGGTATCTGTTAAGTAAAGTTGAGACTTACATCAGCTATCCCTGTGCAGGTGTGAGATCGAGGCAACTCTGGAGAGGCTAAAGAAACTAGAGCGCGATCTCAGCTTTAAAGAGCAGGAGCTAAAAGAACGAGAAAGACGTTTAAAGATGTGGGAGCAAAAGCTGACAGAGCAGTCCAACACCCCGGTGAGTATCCTGCCCCTCGCCATCTTGCCGAGCGCAGCTCTTAGGAAGCGCGGCTGAGCACGCGGCCTGGCTGGCCTGGCCCCTCTTCCGCCTCCCACCGCCACCTCTTGGTGTCCTGCCTGCGCCTGTGCGTTAAGGGGCTGCATGTATTATCCAGTAGCGTTCGTATCTCATTTCAGTTAACAAAATGCCAGAAATTTAAATGAAAAGCTTATCCCATTTTTGGCTGTTTCCTTAAGAACTGTTATTCTGTCAGTGTGTTGGTGTATTAGAATAACAAAAATAAAATCCAATGTATTTTCACACCATCTGTCAGATCCCCAGAACATGCACCTCATTGCCGGTTAACTCTTCATGGCCCATGAGTAACTAATAAATGTAACACCAAGGCAGCTATCTGACTAAGAAAGTCTTCAGTTCATTCAGAACTTAACCACGTCGTCCTAAAGTAGACCTAACCTGACGACAAGCATTCACATTCCTTAGTCAGTTTAGTGTTGTGATCGTGGGCAGCAAAAGATTGGAAAAAGACTGCTGTCTCCAGTACTTACCACACCTAGGAAGTATCTTGTTTTTTCCCAAGTCTTATATTTAGAGGAATATAAAAATTCTTTTTAACAATTTAACTATTTATACACACCTTGAGCTTATATGCTGATATGATACATTACAGTCTAATCAAATTTCAGCATTTTTCCTTCTTTTAAACGACATACCATTTTCAGGAATTAAGTATAAATGAGTAATTGATTTTTCCAGAGTTTTTAATGGACAATATTTGTTCACTTAAAATCATAAATAATGGTAGATTAAAAGTAAACTTATATATTTTAAATTCATTTTTGATAGTTGCTATGGCAGTTATACCAAAAAAATACTTAAATGCCCTTCATTTTGTGATCTTCAAGAAGCTTTCGTATTTTTTAAAGCCTTAATCTCTGTTAAGCAGCAATGTCCAATTGCAAAGTATTTCCCAATGTCTAAACAATAAAATAGCTTGTCTCCTTTTCCAACGTGTGTGGAGAAGCAACGTGATATCCAAAAAAGGAAAATGCAATGAAGTTAAATGTTTATTATCAAATTTAACTTTTTTCAAAAATGACTTCAGTGATCCAGAGAATTCCAGAATAACAATGGAATTGCTATACACGAGACTATCATGGAACACTAAAATGGTATAAGTTCTGTGAATTTAACTTGGCTCTTAAGAAAGACAACCGGGGAAGTTTCCAGTTCTGCTTAACTTGGTACTATCAGACAGACTGGGAAGCGTCACCCTAGGAGTCTGCAGAGGAGCCCCACTTCTCCCTGAGCTGATGGGGCAGGAGCCGGAATGTGACCTTGTCCCCATAGAATAGCTTCTGAAGTCTGGGAGGTTTTTTTGTTTTGTTTTGCTTTTTAAATGCATTGAAATCTTAAGCAATAAAGCACCGCATGGCTTGACTCTTTCTATAAGTAGTATTTAAGAAAAAACTTTAAACTACCTATTAGAGTATGCTTTAGAACCTTTCTTTAGTTTATTGGCATCAGTTTTTCTAAGAAATTATGGGCTGCTTTGCACACGTTATTGCTATTAGTAACATAGTTGTGTAATAAATAATAGAACACTCTGAGTGCTCAGTAGGTTGTATGCTTACATTTTTAACTCCAGAAAACTTTCTTTACTGTAAAGGAGCTGACTGCTCTGAGAGCCACCATCTAACAATGGACAGCATAAAGCACAAACTCAATGAGACTTTCTTCCTTTTTTTCCTTATAAGGGATAAGTTTTCTTTCTTTACAGTACTTGCTTTTAATGTCTCTCTTGCTTAGAGCTGGTATTTCTGAAGGAAGGAAAGTTTGTGCTCAGATATTTTATAAGTAGGTGTTTTCTTTTATCCTCGCATCAATTTTTATTTGACTTTGAGATTTCTGAGAGAAAGATAAAATAAACCTTTTAAAAAGGAAGTAGCTGGAGGTTTTCTGTGTGTGGCCTCATCTTAATAATAAAAGTTTAACATTTATGTAACTTCATAAAAAATTATATTATTGAATTAATTTCAAGGACACTATTTTCTTTCCTAAAACTAAAACATTAAAGATAATTGGGAAGATGAATTCTTTATGTATAAACATGGAAATGTTTATTTTTTAATTATAGGTTAAGCTTGAGGTAAAAATTTTATTTCTTTGAAGAATACAGGCTTATTTGAGATTTGTTGAGATCTTTTGAGTCTAACCTAATGTAAAGAAGCACCCCTGAAATAATAAAACTGAGTAAGCAACAAAGAGTTCCTGAGAGTGTCTAACAATTGAAAACAAATTTGAAAAGCTAAAAAGCTAACAAGTTTGAGTGCAAGGGAAAATAATCTCCTGATTCCAGTGTCTAAGAATCTAAAGCAGTTTTTTCTTCCATGTAACTGGTACTTTTTGGTTGAATTATATGAAGTTAAAGTTAGTATTGAACTAACAACTCCAAGAGTCTTTTTCAATAGAGTGAGCTGCATCAACTTCAATTTAAAAATTAGAAATTGATCCTAAATATTAAGTACCTTTACACCCAGAATATAAAATCACCCCAGAGTTATATTATTTGTACATTGCTTATCATAAACTTACCCATGTTTAAACCACACCAAAAATACAAGCCTTAATTTCCTTATTTCTCAAAAGAAGAGGCAGTAACATTTTTCATATTCTAACAGTTTTACCCCTGAAATGAATATGACCAAACATTTGTAAGACTAGGTTGGCTGTTCAAAGTAATTACATAAGATAGAAAATAAATGTCAGTAACTACTGAGAAAAATCTTAGGAAAAAAGTTCTGTTAAAAGAAGGAAACTTGAATATTAGAGAATATAGGAAGATAACAATAAATTATTACTGCTTTCCTTTCTTCCCAGTTTTCACATGTGTTTATGTAGTTGTGTATAACTTAAATGTGAGAGGCAATCTAGAATTTGTTGACAAATGAATTGTTTAATAATTTGAATAAATAGTATTAAATCAGATCTGGCTGTAATAAATAATAAACAGAAGTAAGTGAATTTTAAACTCATTTTCAGTGTATAGTCAGACTACTAGTCTAGCTAAAACGGTAGTTAACAACCCATGTTTCCCTGGGACTGTATTGACTGCTGAACTGTTTTTGTGCTTCCTCTAAGCTTTTCTTCTTTGGTACATGGTTTCTTAATTTTTTATTTGAGATTTAATCTCTATTTAATTTCTTTTTTTTTTAATGGTTAACTAAATGTTTCTGTGTGAAAGTGAAATTGGGGGATAATTAAGAGATATCCTAAGAACTATTTTGTTTTAAGCAAAATGAGGGCTTAAAACTCGCAACTTCCTTTCCATTTGAAATTTGGCTTGCTATGGTGCTTTGCAAACTTCGGATTGTGATTTATTCTGTCATTCATAAATTATGGCAGATATGCTGAAGCCAAATCTGTCATTAAATAAATTCTCACATAATTCCCTACATTCATTTATTTCACTAATCATTTACCTCCTGTGTAGTACCAGCTAATTTTGTGGTGTCTATTTTCCTTATTTAAAATTGGTCCTAATTTCTCTTTTTACTTCTGTCCTTTCTTCCCTTTTGATAGCTTCTCTTGCCTCTTGCTGCAAGAATGTCTGAGGAGTCTTACTTTGAATCTAAAACAGAGGAGTCAAACAGTGCAGAGATGTCATGTCAGATCACAGCAGCAAGTAATGGGGAGGGCCATGGCATGAACCCAAGTCTACAGGCCATGATGCTGATGGGCTTTGGGGATATCTTCTCAATGAACAAAGCAGGAGCTGTGATGCATTCTGGGATGCAGATAAACATGCAAGCCAAGCAGAATTCTTCCAAAACCACATCTAAGAGAAGGGGGAAGAAAGTCAACATGGCCCTGGGGTTCAGTGATTTTGACTTGTCAGAAGGTGACGATGATGATGATGATGACGGTGAGGAGGAGGATAATGACATGGAGAGTAATAGTGAATGAATGCAGAAAGCAAAGTAATAAAATTGAAAATGTGTGCAAAAACAAAAGTAATTTGTTATTTCTGTCTGTACAAAAAGCCAGTAAGGAGGCAGAAACCAAGCACTACAGCTTTAGGCCAATCACATTTACAAGACAGTAATTTCTTTGTCAATTTTACTTTTGATTTATTTTGCTTACAGAAAAATGGGGGGAAAATTAAGCCAAAAAAGTGTATTTACAAATCAGCAAATGTGGTGCCTGATTATAGAAATTTGTGATTCTATATACAATATTGTATTTTTTAACTAATGACATTCTGGCTTTTTCTTTTTTATAGTTTGTATTGGACTTTGTTTCATTTCCTTTATTCAGTTGGTTAAGAAAACTTACATTTTGAACAAGCACTCTTAATTCCTAACTCTTTGACACTTGATTCTTCTGTAACATACATTTCTTTTCCTTATGGCAATACATTGTAATGTCAGAAATGAGTGATACTGACTACAAAATTCAACCACAAAAATACCGAGATGAAAGAAAATTATAACAAAATGCTCTTTAGAAATACCTAAATGCTGAGAATTTTTAATACTAAATAGCACAACTACTCAAAGTAAAACCTTGAGTTCTCAGCAGTGTATTTGAAGGAGAAATATTCTAATTTGAAACCAACAGCAGATGTTGCAGGCTTTCATACCAGTGCTGGCCCTGGAAGCTTCTTAGCAATAACGCACAGTCATTTAAGACTTAACCTGTACTTTATACAAAGAGAAAGATACGGTATTAAAGGGACACTCGCGGGCATGTGAGTGCTGGGTACATGCCTGCCCTGTACTTCCAGTAAGGGGTTTGTTTTGGTTGGTTGGTTGTGTTCCAGAGGGGCATAATAATCCTGGATTCTAAATATATGTGTAGATATTTTAAAGAGGAAATTAAATATAATTAAAGCAATAGTAAAGATAAGTTATGCTCACATAGGCAAAAGCACAGGCTGAAAGGTCATTTCTATATCAAATCTAGCCTTCCAGAGTTGCCTTTTTTGTTTAAACCAGGCTTAGTGATGCTGGTGTTTTCAAGAAGTATGCGATAGATACAGGTACTGCTCTGAAAACCTGGCTAGCCAGAGATACTCTCAGAATGTTGCCACATGTTTGTCAAAGCTCGTTTGAGTTATGTAACACACTTACATAAAGAAAGGCTAAAGAACAAAGACTTTTTTTTCAGTCTAAATTAGAAAGCGGTGTTATTGATTTGCCTATTAAACTAAAATACTTTTGGTGGTTCTTTTTATGGATGTGTTAAGAAGGACATCATCACAGATATTATCTAATACTATTTCTAACTATATTTGATCATAAAAAGCCTCTTGGAATTGGAAGCGTGACATGCTTCTAATCCCTATTGCAAGCTGAAAAGTACCGCAAAATGATCAGTATGTCGTGCCAGCTTTATTTGGAGAGAAATAATTGATGGGATGTTCTGGATGTGAGGTGTAAATCAGTCTATATAGCATAGTGATCAAGAGGGATCTGGAATCTGATCATGATTCAGAACCCCAGGCCTACGTGCTCTACATCTTGGGCAAATTATTTAATCTCTGTGTGTCTGTTTGCTCATCTTTAACATGGAAATAATGCCAGTACCTACTCGAAAGGATTATTGTGAGGATTAAAAGAAATAATAAATGTAAAGCACTTAACACAGCACCAAGTCCATGGTAAGTGGCCAGTTAATGTTAGCTCCTATTAATTGTGCCACTGAAAAGACACTGAAAAATAAGTGGTTTCAGTAACTTTTGGGAGAACTAAGCTATCGATTTCAAATGATTTTTGCTTAGAAGTATGAGATGAAATTAAAAGTGGATAGCTTTCAGGAAAGATAAAGAGAACATTCTTAGAATGCAAGCTATACAAATAGATATATTCTGTTGCTCTTTGAAAACCATTAGCCCTGGTCAGGTTACCTGCTCTGAGGTGTTTGCAGGCAGTGCCACCACCCACAGACTAAGTAAACACAGAAAGAGTAGGTAAACCTTTCCCTGGAAGTTGGGCTCCACAGAGACCTACTCTGCTACAGTTTCTCTGTGCACACATGGTTACAGATGCATGCACATGTGAATAGGCAGCTTATCCATGCTCAGACATAGAAAAGTACTCCATGGCTCAAGTCAAGCCACTCCAGCAGAAAATTGTGGAGTGGAACAGAAGGGACCGCTTGCAACTCTTGTCTTCCCAGTGTGCCCTGGGGCACTGTGGTCAAGCCTCTTAAAGGAAAGAGCCAAAGGCATGGAGTTTAAAAGCCTCCTGCACATCTTCTCTTTCAAAGATACAGTCATTCATTCAACACATTTCATTGAGGTTTTTAAAGCATGGTCAGGAGCAAAGCTGAGAAAGGTGAGGTGATCTCTGTGGGCTAATTTTGGGATCTGTGCACTTTATGTAAGAAAGTAAACCTTATTTAAGAATAATCTACAATAAATTTAGAACATATGAACTGAATGAAACTGACAGTTGTTTCTTAATTTACATATAAATCCATATGATTATACATAAAGTTTTGATGCATTAATAAAAGCAACCAAATAGGGCCAAAGAGAAAAGTATTTAATAACAGGATTTTATACCCAGACTACATTTACCATTTATTAGGCAGCATTTCCCTCGCCTGTTAACTGCTGCCATTTTCCCACAAGCATTTCAGAGATGGTCATAGCTCAAAACTCTACCATCAAGAAACTACGAGGCTTTAGGATATGGCAGAATTGGCCTCAGTAAGCAGTTTGAAATTGTTCTCCACCTAGAACTGGACTGTAGATCATCACCAGGTGGCATTGTCTATTTTACTTTCTGTTCCAAATCAGCATCCTTCTAGTTGTCTGAAAATATTAAAATATCCCTGAAACCTGGATCATGTAAACAGAGTTTTGAGAGTCATGCAACTGGAAATGTATTACCTTTACTCATAAAATGGATCCTGTAGATTTTGATGAGCCCCTACTAGTGGTTCTCAGCTTGGGCAGTGCTGTCATCTGATGGTGTTAGGAGCACTGGGGCATATTTTTGGTTGTCATGGTGACTAGGACAACATTTGGTACCTTGTGCCAGGAATGGTAACATCCAGCCTACCAGAGACAGTCCCCTCAGTGAAGACTCCCATTCAGAATACCAATAGCATTGTCCCTTCCCCATTGTTAAACCTGGCAGTTTCAGAGTGTCACATCTAATTGTTTTTCCTCCAAACAAAATTACCCAAGTCAAAAAATGCAGTTTTAGAATTACAACAACTACACAATCTGAATTTTGTGAGTTTGTGGCCTTATCTTAAATCACCATTTGTGGAAATGGTTTCTTTCACCTGAAGAATGCTGGTGGAAACTTTCCGAAATAGATAAATTCACCTGGGCAGGTCATTCTCCTGTTACACCAATTCCTCAATTAAAAAAACAAAAAACAAACAAACAAAAAAAACCAAGAAATATCTTGTTGAGGTAGCTACAAGTCTGCAAAGTAGCCAGGTTAATGAAAAAGGCCTCTTTTCCTTCCATTTTTTTAAGCAAAATCACATTTTAATATTTTACATAAATAACCAACAAGAAGATGTTGAAGGCACATCGCTTGCTATTTTTAATGCTCTGGAAATGTTGAGGGCAGGTTTTAGCCAGTGATTTTTAAAATGCAATGGACTTGTCAGACTTTAACACTAGTTGAGGTATTCAGACCTTAATGATCCCCATTAAAAATCAAGGAACTGGGGATGGAGGAGGCTTTAGGAAAGATCCAGAATGACTTCTCATAGCACTACTGTGTACATACTTTATTTTTCAGAGTTTTCATTAGGGTAGTAGGAGTTTTATGTAAGACAATTTTAAAACTTATGCTGAGTTAAATATTGATTTTTTAAAAATATGTTACACTAGACTTGTTGCAGCCTTTTGAAAGTAGCAGTCTCACCATAGTCTCACCACGTATATAATAGAGCATAATTTTTCTATAATCAGGCACCTTTTGCTGCTTTTGAATAAGACTGTTTTCCTGTTTAGATTTTAAGCATTGCCAGAGAGAAGAATCTGTTCTATTCTTTCAATTGTAGCATAGCCTGACTGCTCTAGATGCAGCATTTTTGTGATTAAAAAAATGAGTGTCTATCAAGAAATCTAGAGGACTAGCCCTGTTTCCTCAGACTCCAACTTCGCTTGCACTCAAACAAAGTGCAAACCGTTGAGGAGCTTTCTGGCATGTGATTATTTACTTGAGAACTAGAGTTTCAAGCACCTACATTAATTATTTTATATCGTGTGCAGAATAGTATATCTTTTAATGTCAGATACGATACACTGCACATACTGCTTTTGTGCTCTTTTAAATTTTTTGTACTAAATAATAGAAAATATTTATAATCTTTGAGTGTGAGCTTTGAATAGATAACATTATCACTTTTTTTTAACGAAAACTTTTTCTCAGTTACTCTATTGCAATGTTATTCTGAGCAAGTCCTATGCCAAGTATCTTGTATAATGTTTGTATGGAAGATTAAATTTTACTCTTGTGTGGTCAGACTATTCAGTTACTGATTTTATAGTTGGAATTTGATATTCCAGCACAAAGTCCACAATGTATTCAGAAATCCAAGTTGGTGTCATACATTTCATTTTGATGTGAACTTTTCTTTGCTTTCCTTTGTTCTAAGACTCCATTTTGCAATAAACGTTTTGACAGTAAATCCCTTTGTTATGTGTTGCTGTGTATACAAGATCTTTGTTAGATTGGATTCTCAACATCCTTTGAAGGAACCATTTTCACACACATGCACATGAGTGTTAGCTTTTCTCTCCTGAAGTCAGTTGGAGTGTAAATAATGAATTTTTAAAGTGATGGGGCAGTTATGAGATGGATTTTTTTTATCCCCAAAGAAAGAAAGGCTTAGAACTCATCCTACAGCAGATACACTGATATGTTAACAAGGTACAGGAAACATGAAGGAAATGGTAAGCCACTGTGTGGCTGGAGATCATTAACTTATCCCCTGTCTTGCCAAATTCAAACCCTCACGAAGCAGTGCCTGGCTGCAGCCTTCCTGCTACTGATCTTTGCAAGCATGGTGCGAAGAGTCCTGCTGGAGAGGGTATCAGACTGCGTCTGGTGCCTTTCCCTCGGCTTCATATCGATGAGCCAGCCTCGGTGTGCAAGAGGACTCTTCTCCTCTCCTTTTGACATTAAAACCAAAGATGTTGGTTTTGATTAGTTGTTTCATTTACAACCTTTTTTCAAGAAATGCGTATTTCTCAATTTTGTTCAGTGCAACATTTGGGAATTGTATAAAAATAAAAACACTACACTTCCCCCCACCCCCTTCCTATAAAAGCCAGCCTTGATGTAGGAAATATTTCTGTAACTCAGTCTGTTGTTTCTTGAACTAATCAAAAAAAATTCCTTATTTCACATTTGCTTCCGTGATGGGAGAAGGGAATGGCATGTTTCTGCAGCTGTGTCCAGCTGCCCTGTGAAGAAATAAAACTTGTCTTTGACCAAGTTCAGCTTTAGGTTCCTTGTGTCTTCTTCCTTTCTCCATTGCTAAAGCAGGTGTGTTCGATGATCCCTGCATACCTGAGTGTTTCAGAGGAGGAAAGGGGCAACCCTTGAGGGAGCAGTGGAGCACGTGGGGTAGCAGAGTATGCATAGAAAGTCAATCAATGAAAGTGTATACTTTACGTCCTTGCAACTTGTCTGTAATACTCAAACTCTACACATTCGTATTTATTTTAACCCTTGGGTTTTTCTTTAAAAAATTCTGCTTGGTCCCCCAGGGTCTGCCTCATTTCCCCTTCTTCCTCTGACACAAATGGGCTACCTCCCCTGCCCCAGTGAGGGGATCATGCCATGCCCATCCGTTCCCCCGCCTCTCCCCACCCCCTGCCAGTTTTTTGCCTTGTTGCTGGAGTCTCTTCTCTCCTTGCCCTGCAGCACCCAGCTCAAACCACCTGCCTTCCATTGCCCTGTAGTACTCTGAAACCTGTGAATACATCAGTTTTTGGTAACTTTTTTAGTAAATACACTTTTCAATTTTATGCATTCTACAAAATTATTCAACAAAAATTTACCAGATATTGTATGCCAGGCACTAAGTAAACCAAGATAAAGGGGGCCTTGGACTCCTCCATGTATAATCCACACCTATTTCACCCCCAATTAAATTAAAAATCCCTTGAAGGCAGGGGTTGTGCCTTCCCTAGCAGAGTTTTGAGCACATGGGTACAAAATAAATATCTGCAGAAGAATTAGCCCACCCACCCTCTGATTTTTACACTGAGCGTAAAAGCAATCAAATTCAACTTTTTTTTCAACTCACCTACAAAAAAATATTATTTGTAACAGAGTATGAGTGACACTTTGCTATATTATCTCATGAACAATCTGGTCACTTTGGCAAGGTAAGCTAGTTAAAGCTAATGGCTATACCAAATTCTAATTCAATTCATAGGACACAGACTTTTTCAAATTATGTAAGCATTTATTATTTAGACTATGGCCACGGGGCATATATTGAAGTGATTAGCTCTTTGGCTCTGAAAATGGTGCAGGCTGAAGTCCCCTGCAAGTCGTGATTCACGCTGTGAACCTGACAAGGAGATATTTTTGTCTGTTTTAGAGCAACTTTGCAACCAGGGTTTTTTCAGGACAGTGCCAATTTCACATGTCCTTCTTCATCCATGGGTGCTAATATTTGGTCTTAAAAATATAACGCAAATGAGATATTTAAACACTTAGAAATTCCCCTGTGAGAATAGGCATGATACATCATCTGGTTACCAAATGGTTGTTTTGGAATTTTCATTAATAATCAAACAATCCTCGTGTTGGCTGAGAATTCTGAGGAAGGCTCTGGTATTTGATAAATGTCAGCAATTCCTTGACTGCTGAGGCCCTATTGTGGGAGGCAAAACCACTCTTAGTGTGCCGTGTACCAAGAGAGGAATACCCCACACTATACAAAGCCCCTCCTGAAACAGCTCCCAAACTGCGATAAATTGTTACTGAGAGATTGATGTACATTACTGGCGTCTGGGTTCAAAATCCTTGGAGCACTGAGGTGCTCTTGAGGTCAGGAAAATTGTTTTCCATTCATGCTAACCTGCAGGAGGAACCAAGCCAGAGCAGCAGCTGAGAGCTAAAAAACAATGAGACAAAAGGGTAAACCAAAAAGACAATGATAATATTACTCTTTTTTTCATTTCATGCATATTTTCCACGCAGCTGCTGCCTTCCTTTGAGATTGGTGCATGGACTGAAGACGACGTGGTAAGCCGCTTCTACTAACGCCTCATTTGACCCGGGCAGGTATTTTATAAATTCGTCCACAAGTTTAAAAATGCTGCTACAGGAGCTTGGGCTTTAGGAAAGTCTAACTAGGAGAGGTTGACAAATTCCAATTTTTTCCATTTTAAACGCAATAATGATTGAAAATAAGACCTCAAGAGCAAAGCAAGTATCTCTTCAAATCTTTTTTTTTTTTTTTTTTTTTTTTTTGAGACAGAGTCTCACTCTTTTTGCCCGGGCTAGAGTGAGTGCCGTGGCGTCAGCCTAGCTCACAGCAACCTCACACTCCTGGGCTCAAGCGATCCTCCTGCCTCAGCCTCCCAAATAGCTGGGACTACAGGCATGCGCCACCATGCCCGGCTAATTTTTTCTATGTATTTTTAGTTGTCCAATTAATTTCTTTCTATTTTTGGTAGAGACGGGGTCTCGCTCTTGCTCAGGCTGGTTTCGAACTCCTGAGCTCAAACAATCCGCCCGCCTCGGCCTCCCAGAGTGCTAGGATTACAGGCGTGAGCCACCGCGCCCGGCCTCTTCAAATCTTATATGGGGGTTCTACCTCCTCATTTGCTCTGAACGTATTCCAGAATACAATAATTAATACCAGTGACAAAATTAAAGTAGTGACTCAGGATACACTCAGTAAAGATACTTGAAAAAAATCGGTCTTAAATTTTCTTAAAATGGCAGTTATGGACTTGCCCCATGGTAGAGAAGGCTCTGGTCAGGGCAGTGCTGGGCTGGGATACCACAGAGCCAGATTTCCTTCCGCCTCAGCCTTCAGAAGTGGCAGCTTCACGGTTGCCATCCTTCCTCTGGCCGCCCGAGGAGCAGTGGGAACGCGCACGGGCAGACGTTCTCTGCAGCTGTGGCCGGAGAAGCTCCGTGTTTTCGAGAGTCTGCAGGCAAACTATTTAAGTCCGAAGGATATCCTACACTCCACATTCTGGGTAGAAACCCTGAGGAACAATGCTGCTTAGCCTGTTACATCTGCGTATCTGTTTCCTTAGTGACAAAACAGGAATGAGAATTCCTGAGCAGACACCTCGGGGACTTATGCCTGTCCAGGTCCATTTTGCAAGCTCAGGATATCATGAAACGAAAAAGAAAAAACAGACATAACGCCAGCCTTAGCAGGTATGGGCCCCACCCCGGAGAACAGACCAGGTGCTGCAAGGGACAGACTCACTTTTAGAAACTCTTCAGCAGGTCTGTTTGCCTAGCTCAACCTGGTTCTGGGCCCAGGCTGTTCCCCCTATGCCCTTTGTGTTCTCGTGGAGTAAAACCGCTTTCAGCGTTAGCTAACCTCTTTGGCTTCTGCCGAGTAGGGAAACTTGGCACCAGCTGCCTCTATTTCTTCCTATTCACTGAGCCCCAGTGATTCTAACTTTCCTGCCAGGCTTGCTTAACAAGGAAAGAGGACTTAGGGTCTCCTTTATTCACAGGCCTGATATAGTCTCTTTATCCCCAACTTCTCATTTGAAAAGAAATTTTTTAGAAAAGCACTGAGTTCTAACAGCTATTTTTAGTCTTTGCTCTGAGGTTGAGTGGTTTCCAGGCCACTTAAATAAAATTCCAAAGTTGAGGACTCCCCAGAGAATCAGAGGGAATACGTCTGGCCTCCTGTCCATCTCTTGTCATCCACGTAATGTGGGAGGACACCGGTGAACCTGTGCCACGTGACATATGAGAACTAAGGTCAATGGGTCCAACTGCATTCTACTTAGGAGGCTCCGCGCTTTGACTTGTCCGGGGCCACGTGGCTACTTACTGACCAGGCCTAGAACAGAGGACTCATTCTGTCCTTTGTCCACTGCTGTGTGGTCCCCGTTACTCATACAATTCCTGGGTAAACCCGGGACCCTCGGCAATCCCGCGGGAAAGTCACGACAAGAACATATTAAAATATCTCCCAAAGAAGGAGTTAAGCCAGCAGTCTTTCAACTGTCCAAGACCTCCAAAGGGAGAGATATCCCCAATTTGAAAGCTTAAGGTTTTAAAACTACAAAGAGAAAACCTTCCATTTTACCTTCATGATTGAGCCAGGAATTAAAGATACAATAATCTACTAAAAATGATATGTTTTACTGTTAAGACTGGATACTGACCGTGTGTGAATTTTCAAAACCATGTGTGTCCTCTCTTTCACAGTATTTTTGGGTTCAGCAGCTCGTCAGAAAAGGCAAGTGGAATAAGTTACCTTCTTAATTCATGGAGTTAACTTTGCTTTGGAGATAATTTAGTCTAATTTTGTTCTGCCTTCCAATCACTTCCTTCAGGTGACTCTTCAGCAGAGATGAGTGTGTATGCAAGCTTGTTTAAAGAAAACAACATTACAGGGAAGCGGCTGCTGCTTCTGGAGGAAGAAGACTTGAAAGACATGGGCATTGTCTCCAAGGGGCATATCAT